CTTTGTTTTTCTTGGAGGAGAACCCTAAAGAGTCTACAGAAGACTGGAGGATCCTATTTTTAATATGTTGCCAAAGCACGGAAGAAGAAGGATCTATGAGATGGTCTTCAAGTCTGGTTTGAAGGTTTACCTGGAAGCTGTCTCTCACTGTAGCTGTTTGAAGATTGTTAACTTGGAGCCTCCTCCTTGGAATGCCGCCCCTCTTAGGTCTGGGCTTAAAGTGGAGGTTAAGTTTGCATCGCACAAGGCAGTGGTCTGTTTGACATTTTGCACTGGGCATCGCTTGGGTATGACAGACATCGCGAATATTTCCCTGGCACTAATATGTTGTCAATGAGGTGCCCGTGCTTGGATCGAGAATGCATCCAGGTTGTCTTCAAGCTGTCTTTCTGCTGAAAGATAGTGTTGGTGATGGTGAACTGCTGCTCTGCACAGAACTCTAGCAAGAGGCGACCATTGTCATTGCAGTTTCCAACACCATGGTTACCTAGTACTCCTTTCCAGGTTTAGGAGTTCTTTCCTACTCTGGTGTTGAAGTCACCAAGGATTATGATTTTATCATCTGCAGGAATCTTTTGCAGGAACCACTCCTGTAGCCATTCATTGATTTTTCAGATCCAACTGGCCTTTTCTTGCCCCATACCTTTGACCAGAGGGATCAATGAAAAGACTACCTGTGCTCCAGAGTCCTTCACTGCTGCTGCCAGTGCTTTGTAATATTTCTTAATACTCTTTAGATTACTCTTGGCCGAATCACTGGTGCCAATGTTAAACAGCAGCAACGGGTAGTAGTCAATGTGATGTACAAGGCGTGGTGGTCTCTCAGTTACATCCTTGATATGAGCCTTCAGTAAGCAGCAGACCTCTTTAGAGATTGGATCAGATTAACAAATGGGTGCCTCCATACCTCTTAGAATAGAGTGACCCACAACTATCACCTTTCGCTTTTTCTTGGTTGCACAAGCAACCGTGGAAGCACCTGAGAATGATGATGTAGGAGTTAGGACTTCTTCTCCCAAAACAGTGGCAGTATCAACCAAGCTGAAGTGTGTCTACACCAATGCATACAGCATGGGCAGCAAACAGGAGCTGGAAGCCACTGTGCAGCAGGAAAACTATGACATAGTTGCCATTATGGAAATGTGGCAGGTTAACTTACACAACTGGAGTGCCACACTGGATCTCTGTAAACCCTTCAGAACGGATAGACAGGGAAGGAGAGGCAATGGGGTAGCCATATAAGTTAGGGAGTATTTTGATCATCTAGAGTTTAATGATGGTGACAATGAGATTGAGTTTATGAGTATGAATCAGAGGGAAGGCCAACAAAGCAAATACCATGGTGGGAGTATGTTACAGACCACCCAGCCGGGGTGAAGAGGCAACCAAAGTATTTTATAAGCAGATGGGAAAAGTCTCAAAATCACCAGCCTTTTTTTGTGTGGAGGACTTGATGTCTACTGGGAATAAAATGCTGCAGAGAGGTAACAGTCCAGAAGGTTCTCGTAGGGTGTGGAAGATATTTCTGATACAGCTTGTGAGCGAGACAACTAGGAAAGGGGCCCTGCTGGACCTGCTGATTGTGAACAGAGGACTTGTGGGTGATGTGATGGTTGGAGGCTGTCCTGGACATATCAGTCATTAAGTTGTAGATTCCCGGAGAAGCAAGGAGGAGGGTTAGCAGAACTGCTATCTTGGACTTTTGAAGGACAGACTTTGGCCTATTTAGGGACCTGGTTGACGAATTCCCTTGGGAGGCAGTCCTGAAGGGCAAAGGAGTCCAGGAAGGCTAGACAGTCTTCAAGAAGAAAATCTTAAAGGTGCAGGAACACGCCATCCCCATGTGCTGAAAGAAACTGGTGGGGAGGAAGACCAGCCTGGCTGAACAGAGAGCTTTGGCTGGAGCTCAACATACAAAAAAAAAGTTTATGAACTTTGGAAGAAAGGACATGCAACTCACAAGGACTACAAGGATGCTGTAAGATTATGCAGGGAGAAAATCAGAAGGGCCAAAGCCTAGATAAAACTTAATCTGCCTACTGCTATAAAAGATGATAAAAAACGATTCTAAAATACATTAGTGACAGAAAGATGGCTAAGGAGAATCTCCCTTTTATTTGATATGGGGAGAAACACATTGACCAATGATGAGAAGGCTGATTTACTTAATGCCTTCTTTACCTCAGTCTTTAGTAGTCACACCAGTTGTTCTGTGGGTACCCAGCCCTCTGAACTGAAAGACAGAGGCAGGGAGCAGAATGAAGCCCCCATAATCCAAGGGGAATTGTTTAGCAACCTGCTGCTCCACTTGGACACACACAAGTCAATGGGGCCAGACGGGATCCACCCAAGGGTACTGAGGGAGCTGGCAGAAGCCTAGATGTCTTTTTGCAGGTGTCTAGAGTTAGAAATTCATGGAATGTTTTAATGCTTCCTGTTAACTTATGGATAGCCAGGTAGGTATCTAAGCTGAAGTTGTGCTTCAAAAAAATAGTGGTTTAATCCTGTATAAACCTAGACTACAGCAGTTCCACAGTCCTTCCGCCCCACAGAGAGACCATATTGTTATAAATCTGGGGAAGGTGGTGATAGTGGAAGCCCAGATCAAGATTAGCTTTCCACCAGATCAGCCTCCTAATCAGTTTAGCTGCACAAGTGTGAATGCTACGGTGGGAGAGGGAGGAAGAGAAACTGGAAATGAGCACCGCACAGAGTGAGTTTTATTTTTCTTTCACCTTTCTCTGTAAAGACATCTGTAACTTTAGTTTTGGGCTTTTTTTTTTTCCATCTTATAGTTTCACTTTTTGTCGAGCATTTTCATGCTGTTTAAATTCATGTGAATCCTATTTGTTGGTCTGTCTATATATGCAGAGTAAACAGGGCAGTCTGATGTTCATCTCTGTAATTACCTTACAGCACATTTTCCCAGATGCTAACTACTCTAGTCTTCTTGCACACCTTAAGGTGTACACAGAGCTTTATTCTAGAAGCGTTTTTCTGTTCTAAGCCACAGGAAATAATTTTCACATGAGTGTTATAGCTGGTTATATTGTTTTTATTAGATCAGCAGTTGAACAGATTTTGGGCCTCCTGAGATTTGTAATTTTCCACGAAAGTCCAAAAGTCATATGAATGTACTTCATGCCTACTATTGTTTGACCTAATATTGTAGGTAAGTGAAATTTGTTAATGATTTCTTACTTGCAGAGAACTTCCAAGGTTTGCAAATGGTTTTTAAGTGGATTATGCAACTATTTGCTGATACTGAGTAGAATAACTCCATTTAGTAGTTGCTGATCAAATTTGAATAACTTACTGGCACCTTTGTCCACGTTTTCCTGGTGTGTTGAAGTGGCCTCTATCTACTCTTCGGTGCAGTGCTCACAAACACATCCCAGGCAGCACTGAGACCAATCTTACTGCATGAATATTCATTAACGTGGTACTGAACTTTTGCATCGTTACGCATCTGAGATGTTCTCACAAATTGTCTCGTATCTGACCTTTTTGGACACAGTTTCTAAAGTGCTGCCTGCTAGGGCAACAAATTTAGTAATCTGACTACTGCAATTACTTTTATCTCAGTGTCAACCACACAGATTTCCCCTTATTTCTCAAAGCGTAACATTTCCAGGAGTCTGCTTTTGTGTTACTGGTATTGCTCCCTACTTCACTAGTAGCTTAGTGAGCCTTTGATGCAAAGAAGGGAAAGTCACTGCAAAGATGTTTTGATGAATGCCTATGATATATTCATGGGATCATAGAATAATTCAGACTGGCAAGGATCTGGGGAGGTCTCCAGCCACTGCCTAGTGCTGGCTCAGATGTGAGGGGGCCGGTTAGCTCGGTCAGTTGAGCGTGGCACTAACAACGCCAAGATCGTGGGTTCGATTCCCATTTGGTACCCATGTGTTGCCTGATCTAGTTGACAAGTGGCATCCCTGGCGACAGGGAGGCTGGTTTAGAAATGGTCTCTAAGGTCCCTTCCAGCTTAGGCCATTCTATAATTCCGTGACTCAGACTGCACTGCTCACGACTTCACCAAATCGGGGCATGAAACACCCAAGGTGGCACACCCTCCCCAGGCCCCAGCTCCACTGCTGGGCTGTCCTCCTGGAGAAAAAGCTTCTCCTTACCTCCAACTTGAGCCTCCCATGTTTCAGCTGCACTACTGCCTCTCGCCCTTCCATCATGCACCACTGTAAAGACCCTAGTCACATTTCCTCCATGATACTGGCCTCCAGGCAGCATCTAACCCAACAACTACCAACCACCACCACCAAACCAGGTCCTCATCCAACACTGTCCTCCTCATCCAAACCAGGTCCTCCTTTCAAGACCATAATGCCACAGGCCAAGTACAAGATTATTGGGAGAGACAGTTCAAAAGCCTGGCTAGCAGAGAGACAGGTGACATCTGCTGCTCTCCTATTGTTCCTGTGACTTTTTCATCTTTGTCGGATGAGTCAGGCATGATTTACCTTTGGTTAATCTTTGCAGACTGCTTCCCATTGCTGTCTTCTCTCTACTGTGCCCAGATATGGGCTTCAGGAGGTCTCACTCTCTGATTTTACCTGGGACTGACAGGAGGCCAGCTTGCCTGTGGTTCCTTAGATTGGCTTTTGCCCTTTTTTGAAGGCAGGTGTGACACTTGCCTTTCTCACATTGTTGGGGACCTCCTTGATCTCCATGGCCTTTGAGAGTTGATGGAGAACAGCTGCACAAGGTCTTCAGCCACCTCCCTCAGCACTTTGGTTTGCACCCTGACAGGTCCCAAGGACATGTGTGGGAAGAGTGCTCCCAAGCAATCCTGACTCACTCGTCATCCCTGGCTGGTAGATCTTCTCCTCCTTAAGCCCTGTCATTATGTACACAGCATAAAACTTTACAGATGAAAAAATCCAACCCACAAACGTTGTATGTAATGTTCTGCTTTGGTTTCCTCAGCCTTCCTGAGAGCCCCTGAGAGTCTTGGCTTTTGATCTCCTGAGTAGCTCAGGAGGTCGTAGCATCTTGTCCCTTCTTGTTAGATGGCTAAAGAGAGAGAGCATGCCAGTTTGGAGCAGAACATGAACTATTTGGGAAATAGTCCTTTTAAGTTTATATCTCTTGGTACGACAATCTTGAAGGTAAAAGCAGCTGCTTGTATCCTACACACCAGTGTCTTAGGTCTATGTGCAGTTCTTCCACTGCCTGCTTAGCATAATAAAACTGTACTAAGTGCAGCTTACCTCTGGGTGCATTTGCATGTAAATGTTAGGTATGTAGTGTAAATGATGTTAATTACTGAAGTAGTTCAGTGTTCATTGGACCTCTCAGTTTCAAGGTTGCTGCCCTGATAGGTCTTGTCAGATGGTAAGTTCCTTTCCACAGGATCTCTCCTTTGAAAAGGCATGTTGCTCTCGCTCTTGCTCCTCTAGGAGGAGCTGAGACCCTGAATGGAACAGTAATCTATGAGACAAATAGCAACGCTATGCTCATAATTTGATGATACACTGAAATTAATTCGTATTTTAGAAAACGTAATCCATTGATGATGAGCCTGACTGCTTTTCAGTCCTGTCCTTCCAAGTGCTAGTATTTGCTGAGTTAGTGGTATCTAAGTAAGTAATGTAAGGTAATGTAGTATTTAATTTGGACTGCTATTATTTATCTGGTTTGGGGAATGAAAGGTCTTGTTAATGTGAGACCACTCTAGGAGCCACAAGGTATTTTCAGGACTAAAGGGCAATGGGGTATCTATGTTTTTTCTCAACTTTCATCTAAACATCATTTTTTTCCTGACATTTGCTGTCACTTACTCTGGAGTCCCCTCAAAAAATAAACACAAAAAATGGAGCAAGAAGGCTAATAGCTCAGCTGTAGAGAAGTTTTTCTTCTGAATCATAGAAAACCAATAATTATATCAAAACCATCTCTTTCTTCTGGTCCTTACTTTAAGATATGTGTGGAGAGTCATAAACGAGTGTAGTCATTGGCCTTATTCTCTTTATGGGTGACTTTTATCTAAATCTGTGTCCGTTGTGCTATCTTTCATTGCTCTGAAACACTTTTTGCTTAGATATGTCTCTACAGCAGCCGTGAGAGTGGATTCTGGGTCCATGTGTTATCTGACACCACAAAGTCAGCAATGAATTTTCATCTGTGTCAATCCTTCACAGTCTTTGGAAATAGTAATATAATTGAATATCTCCAGGTGACTTAGTGTGACTGGCCTATTCTCCAGGTTCCAGCTTGGATACTTCTTGTTTAGTTCATGAGCTTTGACCTGCTTATTGTCATTTACCTATGAGGAGGCAAAACTGCAAAGTGTTTTGCTTTTGGGGTCCCTAGATCAGTAGTTTGTTTCAGGAGCTGCCTCCTCTGCTAGTCCCTGGGATTTTTTTTTTACGTAACACCACAGTGAAAATTGTTAGGGAGTCATGCAGTGAGCCAGATCAGGCAATACTTCCGCTTAAAATAACTTGTGAGTTTCCCCCATGCCCAGCTACATCATTTGCTCTTGATTTTTCTAGGATTCTTTCTGGCAAGTCCCTGAATTTCTTTAATATCCCACTATTTGTCTCAGCTAGGGAATAGGTATAGACACTCTAAGTTAGCCTAATCCATGTTGAGTTGTCTTGACAACAATTTGGGCATTTTTGGTAGCCGTGTTGCCTTCTGACTTCTAGCTAACTGTCATCGTACATGTGACGAGAGAGCTCAAGTCTATTCTGCAGTGCTGGGCCCCTACAAGTCTTTAATCTCTACTGAATAAGATTGTCTAATTGGCTTATTAATTGCCCAAGAGCGCGAGAGGCCTCCTTCTCCAGTCTGCTTTTGCACAACATTGAATCAATCAAATCTAATTTGCCTGTGTTGAAAAACTGGAGTGCAAACACAGTTTCATGATTTCTGGGTATCAAAAAGTGCCTTTCTAAAGCAGTTCATGTCCTTAATTTGCTTAGGGTTGCTTTGGGGTATATTTTTGTTTGTTTGTTATTTTAAATGTATTTGTCTTTCACTAGTTAGTTCTCACTCACCTCAACAGAAATATTTTTCTCTTTCTGAGTGTACCTCTTCAGGGTTTTTTAGATATTTATGTCTAATCTGCCCCTAGATCCACAAGTAATACATCGGAGTCCAAAGGCCGTTACTGAGTGTGGGTGGTTGAAGGTTGTGTGGCATCTTAAAAGAGTAAAAGAAGAATTTATCTGCACTTCCCAGGGTGTATTAACTTGTGTAATATCTAAAGGGAAACTGGACTGTCAGATGTCACTATAAATTACATTGCAATTAATCTTGCAGAAGACAAGCCTGACGATGCCTGTATGACAGTAATACTGATTGAATTTGGAATCTGCATTATTCATCCAGTTGAAAACTTCTAATGCTAAATGAACTTGACCAAATTTCCCTTAACACTGCACTTCAACCTGTCACTTTGCTGACCTCCCAGTGTTAGTGTTTCTCTGCTCCTGATTAATGTAGGCAGCTCCTAGATCTTTCTTCAGTACCTAGAATAACCTGTGGTAATAATCATAGGAACCCTTTTGTGTCCTCAGATATTCTGAAATGTCACGTGCAAGACCAGAAATTTGAGCTGCATTGCTCAGGTTGGAATTGCTATATGGAACTCTCAAACTGTTACAGAATGACATCATGGTTTGGGTTGGAAGGGACTTTTCCAAATTATCCAGTCTAGTCTCCCAACTGTTGTTAGTGTTCCTCAGCTAGGGAACAAATACTGTATCCAACAAAACTTATTTACAATTTAATTCAATGTCATTTTGCCACTATTAATATTTTTTCAGCTGAGTTAATTTTTATTATATTGTGTATCAGAAGCCTACAATATCCCTCTTTGTAGAGAAACTATTTGGGATGAGGATCCTAGAGTTGCATGCAAGTGTGTTTGATATAAAATAATTTCTTTATTTCATTTTGAGATGTTGTTGTGGACGGCCAATTGGAGATCACCTAGGAGTAGACTGTAGCTGGCCTATTTATCAGGCTGCCTCACAGAGAGATGGTGGAGAATGGTCTGTTCAAAAACACACAAAGACGAGTCCAACAGATGCATTTGGTACAATCAGTTTTCAAGATGGAGATCACACTTACCATGCCAAGGTATTAGATGCTGGGCTTATATGTCCAACTTCTTTTTATAATTTCAACATAAGAAAGGCAAAAAGTGGTTTCAGGTGAATATCAGATTATTTATCTTAAGAGAGGTTGAGAATCTAAAAGTAAGTCAAGGTAGAGTCTATGTATGGTATTTTTATGTTGAACTTAATTCAGCATAGTCTGTCATGCTGTCTGTATTGTTTACTGATGTATTTTTGTGCTGTTACATTAGCAGTACTGTGAAAGTTCCCTAATCCTGTACAAAATCTTTAAGAGAATGCTGAGAACTTTGTAAGATGTTGAAGTTTCTTCTCTTAGAGTATTTAAAGGATGTTTTACCCACTATTATTTCTTCCAGTATATTAGAATCTCTTATGATAGCAGTTTGGATCAGCTGTTGCACCTGATGGTTAAAGAGTGGCAGATGGAGTTGCCAAAGCTAGTGATCTCTGTTCATGGAGGCATTCAGAATTTCAAGCTTCCCTCAAAGGTCAAGCAGATTTTCAGCAAGGGATTGGTGAAGGCTGCTGAGACTACAGGAGCATGGATAATTACAGAAGGCATCAACAGCGGTAGTGATTTTTCTTTGTTTCAGTCTTCCTTTGGTGTTCTTTCTCTGCATACAAACATATGCATTTAGGGCAAATACAATGAACTTCATTTATAATTTGTGATATTTTAGCATGAAGTGAAGTGCTTTTTTTTGAGGAACAATGCATTCTTCAAAACTGCATCATGTTCCTCTACTGTTGACAAGCATTCTGAATATTTATGTATATTTTTTTTTAACTGAAGAGTGGAATATTCTGCGTGTAAGAAGAAACACTGATAGTAGATAACTAGAACTTGTTTGCAGTCAATTTCGCTGCTTCATTAAAATAATTAGTTTCTGAGGATTGTGACTGGTGTTTTTGAAACATTTTTCAAATCTAAATTTAACTGTTGTTTTATAATTAAGAAAGTTTTTAATTAGGATAATTGATTAATTAGCCTATTAGTATCTAAAACTCCCTGTAGACTACTCTCAAAAATTGGGGCGGTCAGTAAACCATGTAACTGAATCAGTTTTACTTCTTTAGCTTTTATTCAATACATTGCCCTTATAGGAGACCTGTCCTGTGTATTTATGTAAATAATAAAGTTTTATGGAGGTAGAAAGCACCACTAACACCATATATGAGCATTATTCATTAGAAATATGTGTTGTGTTTGAAGCATTGATGCATTATATCTGACCATTACAATTCCTGCAGTGCACATCACATATAGAAGCTGAGTGGGATGGTTTGCTTATTTACTGTTAGGTGAGGTGGTTTTATTCTAACGGTAGAGTAAATTAAATTATGGGAAACCTTTTCGTTGGTGTCCTGTAGCAGGTCTCTGAATGTAAAAGAAAAAAGGATGATGTAATTATCTATTTAGGAGTGTCCAAGCATGTGGGGGATGCACTGAAAGGTTGTACCTCACCACATCTGCGGAAGATCTGTGCTGTTGGGATTCCTCCGTGGGGTATCATTGAGAACCGGAGGGATCTCATTGGAAAAGATGTGAGTTGGACACATTTTAATAATAAAAGCCTTCATGTTCAAGGAGTGCTATAGCTTTCTTGCATACTTTATTTTCTGCTTGCTTTTTTTCGCTGGTTTGATAGTTTTTCTCATTAATAGAGGCTTAGATTTTGCTCACCAGTTTGCATTTTGTGTGTAAATGGATAGTTTAAAAATATTTCTCTTCTTAGAGGAAACTGCCATTCCTTTTTGAAATTTTGTAATTAATTAGGAAATTTTCTTGTGGTTGCAAATGATATGTTTCTGTATTCATGTGATTCAGGATGAGCAATCAGTTTAATGTTATACACAAATACGCTATTAATGTGAGTGATTTTTATTCATAAACTAGAACTTTATGTGAGTACCAGTGTGAGGGCACAATCCCTGTAACTGTCTAAAAACACTTGACAAGTAATGTAAAATAATTCCTGAAAAATGATAGTTCACATGTTTTTAGTGGGAACACACACAGGAAAAATACGCCATTGTATTTCAACTGTTGCAAAGAAAGTCAGGTAATGACTCTGACTAAGGACTACAAGCCTTTTCAGAAATACCTCCGGTGTTATTAATTGTGGTTTTGTTGGTGTTAAGAATCAAATGATTCTTACATTCAAACGTGAAAGAACATGTTTCAGTAGAGCAGCAAATAGCATGATGGAGGCTTTAAGATCACAGTATGATGAAGAAATACATACAAGTGAGACAACATAAATGGTGATATTCTTTTGGTTCCTTTGAAGACCTTTTTATTTTGTTTTTCTTAGGTAATTTGCCTGTACCAGACTCTCAGTAACCCACTCAGCAAGCTAAGTACCCTCAACAGCATGCATTCTCATTTCCTAATGGCAGATGATGGGACAGTAGGCAAGTATGGGAATGAAATGATACTTAGGAGGAATTTGGAGAAGTACATATCACTTCAAAAAATACACACAAGTGAGTATTCCTGTGGTGAGCTTTATGACAGAAAAATCTGTCCTAAAAACTGTGGAAGTACTTGATATTTCCTCTTATGTGTTATACATCTTCATTTGCCATAGATTTCACTGAGGTTGAAAATTACTGATTGCACATGCCCTGAACTTTGAATATCAGGAAAATGAAAAGAACAACATCTTTATAAAGCATTATGCATTTAACTTGTATTTTTGTTTCTCAGTTGTAGAGACATCTAAATGACTCAGACTATTTAGCAAGTATTGAGCATTTACTCACTTTTTAGTTTTGCATGGTATCTATTTCGACACTAGATAGTTTCCCAGGATTTTGCTAGGTGGAAAAATTGTCCCATTCAGTGGAATTTGAATCCTTCTTCCCCTGATCATTACTTCTATCCTCATAAGTCTTCTATATGTTAGGTCTATGACCTCCTCAGATACCAAAACAAAGACTGTTTGCACAAATACCTTCAGCCAATATTTGTCAGATTGCTTAACTTCCTTTGTTTGCCTATACAGTAATGGAGTTATAGTATAGAAATCATGACTGAAGTATTTTTACGTAGACCACTATTTCATTTTATGCACCAGATTTTATAAATTATTTGTGGAAGTTCACTCTTACCTAGTGTTTCAAATCTTGAGGTGTGTTAAAAAGAATTTAACAGAGCTGTGATGTTGAATCCTTGTTTCCTTTATCTGTTCACATTACGATATTTACGAACTTAGAAACTTATCCAGTTATTAATGTGTTCATATTTAGAGCTTCTTCCTCAGCCTCTTACAGCCTTTCTTACTATGAGTTTTTGCAGGTCAGACTTTCTGTTGTTTTTCCATGTCTATTGTATCTTGTTTGAAATTTACTTCTGATTATTAAAAAAACGCACCCTGCTGCTGTAAAATTTGAGAAAGTCTGTAAAGGAGGAGTGATTATTTTTCTGTTTGGGTAGGTAAACAAGTTGACATTGACCACATTTCATGTGCCACCAGTGTCCTTGTGTATGAGAGCTATTGTAAAGGTCAGAGGGACATTCTGTTTCTTCTTTCCAGTGCTACGGCCACTTGCAATTTTATCAGGGTGTTTTTGTGGTCTTTTTTGTTTGGTTGCAGAAATTCTGTGGTGGTCTTAAAAAGTGTAAGTCAAATTAGAGATGGTAAAGGCATGATTTCCTCTCTGTGGAACCATGTATGAGCGTTTATTTGCCAGATGTTCTGATTTTTTTGTGTGACTGGTTAGGTGTGTTTTGAAACAGGAATGGGCCAAGGTGTACCTGTAGTTGGACTGGTGGTGGAAGGAGGCCTCAATGTGATTCTGACGGTGTGGGAGTACGTAAGGGCCAGACCAGCTGTTCCCGTGGTCGTCTATGAGGGCACTGGCAGAGCTGCAGATATCCTGGCTTTTACACACAAACACACAGATGATACGGGGTGAGTAGTGGCGTAATGCTCCTTTTCCTTGGTTTGTCATACTGTGGGGGACCTGAAAATGCTTGCCTCAAAACAGCTCGTTTCTAGTGCCTCTGATAATGACCCCATCATTGTCTTTTTCTGGCTTTTACTTCTGCAAAGTCAGACAAGAGTTTCTTCCTTTCTTGCCTGCAACTAGTGCTGAAAGATTTATTCTGCCTAATTTACTTTGGCTTTTTTTGAAGAGGAAAAAGAAAGTGAGTCTAGCTATTTTGAGATATTATAATTTTTCATACCTTGGGTGAGGGACACTGCGGGGTGACCCCGGAATGCCTGCTTGGGTTTTGACTCAATTGCTTCTCCTGCCTTCAGTATTCTCTAAGTGGGCTTGGATTTGGGTTGCTCAAAGCTTTCAAGACTAGGGCTGGGGTTAGCTGCTGTAGGACCCTCAGGCTAGTGTAGGAGGATGACTAAGATGCCTTGGTTTTTACCCAGTGGTAACCTAGGTTTGTCAACCTTGGCTAGCTGTAATTCTTTGTTTTGTGTCATGTCCAGTGCAGCCTCAGCTGCAGACTCTATTAAGCCTAGCTTGTTGAAAATTTTATGTCAAAACTGGAAATAAACAAATATATACGTTTGTGAAGAAAATTATTTTTTGGCAAGTCTTTTAAATGAACAATTTAATGGACTTATATCCTAATTATATATTGTATTGTCTAAATATTCGTGGGGGGGGGGTGTTTGCTGTTTTTCCCTAATATGCTGTATTGAGAACTTCTTTCTTCATTTTTTTTTTCTGTATTTTTGATCTTCAAAAAACAGTAAATCCCACCATTGCAAAAGAAAAGGAAAACGTGAACAAAAAGGTTAACAGAAAGATAGATGAGGGGAAAAGAGATGGGAGAGATATGAAGCCTAATGAACAAATAATGAGGAATTAAATTTTATCCCTATATGATTATTGAAAGAAAGAAAAAGTTTGCCAAACATCTAGTGATTTTTGTCTCTATATTCACAGACAATCCTTTGAAAATTGTTAGTTTTTTCATTTGTTATATTTCCAGTATTGTGTATGCATGGTAGAACTAATGCCATTGTGAGTAATAATTTATATTATGGGATATCTTTGCTTTGTGTTTTTGAAAGAAGGCAGGAATAAGTTAACAGAGAAGTAGAAATAAGAGATTTCTCATATGTCTCTGCTTAGCACAAGTTTTGTCTTTTGCTAAGGTGTCATTTGAGCTAGTAAGTAGTAGCTAAAAATATACTTACTCAGGATTGTATATCTGTTTTTCAGGGAGCTGCTCCCTCAGGTGAAGGAGGAAGTCTTAGTGATGATTCAAAACACATTTAGCTTGGGACAGAAGCAGTCCACTCATCTATTTCACATTTTGATGGAATGCATGGAACACAGAGAGTCCGTGAGTGGGATTCAGGCTCTGAGTTTAGGATGTCTTCATTTGCTGTTACCCTTTTTACTCTTTTTGTAGTGGGTTGGCATGGGCACAGTAGTTGTAGAAGTAATGGTATTATCTCTAATATATAGATAACACAAAGGTGTTTGTACTAGTTTATATGTTGAATAGCTTCACAGAACCTGTTTAGTTAACTTCTCAATTCTCAGTGGTTGCTTATGAAGTGACATACTTTCTGATTTTACTAAAAGGTCAGATATCTTTGTTGTTGCAGGAAAGATCAAGTAATTCCTACTTTTCTTTTTTTTTATTATTCTCCAGTAGTGTCTTATTTGTAATTTAGAAGTATTTCCATCCATTTTTCTACTCAAAACAGAACGGTGCTAGAACTTGTTTCGAGTATTGAAATGTACTTTCAAAATGTGCTGACGTGTTTAGCAGCTCAGGTGCTTGTTTGCAAATAGAATTCTGGAATCATAGAATGGTTGCTATCAGAAGAGACCCTAAAGATCATCTAGTTCCAACTCCACTGCCACAGGCAGGGACACCTCCCACTAGATCGGATTGCTCAAAGCCCCATCTAACCTGGCCTTGAACACTTCCAGGGATGAGGCTTCCTCACCTTCTCTGGGCAACCAGTTCCAGTGCCGCACCACCCTCACAGAAAAGAATTTCTTCCTAACACCTGAATAAAATCTACTTTTTTTTCAATCCCTTTTCCTATCACTACACTCCCTGATAAAGAGTCCCTCCCCTTCTTTTCTGTAGGCTTCCTTTAAGTACTGGAAGGCCACTATTAGGACTCCCTCGAGTCTCCTCTTCTCCAAGGTGAACAGCCCCAACTCTTGCAGCCTGTCCTCACAGGAAAGGTCCTCCAGCCCCCTGATCTTCTTTGTGGCCCTCCTCTGGACTTGCTCCAACAGGTCTTTCTTATGTTGGGGCCTCAGCGCTGAACACAACTCCACAGGTGGGGTCTCACAAGAGCAGAGCAGAGGAGGAGAATCACCTCCCTTGACCTGCTGGTCACGCTTATTTTGATGCAGCCCAGAATGTCATTGGCTTTCTGGACTGTGAGCACACATTGCTGGCTCATAGTTTCCAGGAAGATCTACTCCATGATCTTGTCAGGCACTGAGGTGAGACTGACCAGCTTGTCGTTCTCTGGGTCTTCTTTTTAAGCTTTTGTAAAAATGAGGGTTATGCTTCCCTCCTATGCAAAAGGTACCTATGCAAAAAGGTACATTTTCTGTCTGAAATAAAGGAAAATTGTGACTGGTGTTTGTCACTTTTGGTGTTGAAATGTGTATGGTTTAATCTATCACAGCCCTTACCAAGAAGAAATAACTACAGACTTCTCTGCCTCGTCTTAAATAGTATACTTTTGCAATTCTAACAGATAACCATATTTGATGCAGAATCAGATGATCAGCAGGACATTGATTTAGCAATTCTGACTACAGTCTTGAAAGGTACCTGTCTTAAAATATGACTAGTTTTCATTTAGCATACAGTCCTACTGGCTTAGCTTTTCAAAACAAAGGAGTAACATCAATATGTCAAAACTGCTAGGTCGTTTACTTATTTCCTAGGTACAAATATGTGTGCTTCAGATCAGCTAGATTTGGCGTTGGCCTGGGACCAGCTAGATATTGCCAAGAAACACATACTGGTTTATGGACAACACTGGAAGGTACTATTACTTTTTATTTTTCACTGTGTCTTTACACTTTATTTTGATGACTAATTTTCCATGATTTGCATTTGTCAAACTTTATTTAAGGAATAGTTGATGCTTGGAGTCAGTCTTCTGGAGTAATCATCTTTGATTTTGGAGAGGCATTATTCTTAAAATTGCAAAGTATTCAACTGCAGAGTGCATCAGATGAAGAATCAAACACATTTATTTCCCCAAAGAAGAAGCGATATCTAAACTTCCTGTATTTTTGACTGCTTGTTTTTCCACGTAGTTTCAGTGGTCCTTCTGGATATGTATTCCTCAAGCCTATGTTGACAATCATTGGTGGTCAAAGATGTTTCAGTGTAGCCCTGAGTACTCTTCTCTCCAGAGGAGTAAACTCCAAAGGAGTGTTGCCTCTGCTTTCCTGGTTCTAGATAGAAATACAGAAATCAAGGTTCTTTATGGTGTTACCAGGTATAAAAAAGACTGAACTATGGCACTGTGGCATCATGTCATTATTTCAGATGTTGTTTCTTAGAACTAGCTGCAATCAGGGCAGGCCATGATTTAGACCTACATTAACTATATGTGCATGAAAGAATGTGCAGTAGCAATGGAATCATATAAATTATGTTAAATTTTTCAGATGTAATCAAGTATTTAAGTAAAACCCTCATTATATAATAAGATTTTTATAGATGATTATAAAATTGTTTGTGCCGCAACACAGGCTATTCCATTTTGTTATAAGAGTAAATATTTTCTGCAAGAAATTATATCTGATACTCCCAGAAGTACTTTTTACATTTTACCTTCCAAGAATTACAAGGTTTAGTTTTCCAGTCCTGAGTGCCATTTCTTCTTTACAAAGTAAATTTTGGAAAATAGACAGTGAGTGTATTTTTTTGAGTGACTGTAACTGGTTAGTTGGCACAGCAAGAAAACTGAATTTATTGATCACCAGTTTCTGTTTTCCTATAATGTTTTCTTATAATATTTATGGCTGAGTATACGGAGGACTAAGTCTGAGATGTCTACAGTTGGGCATCCGTGAATTAAAGGATTTTGTTGTTGTTGTTGTTGCCTCTTTAGGCTCAGTTCACTGTCTATGAAAGGAGATGATCACACCATGTTCTTGAACAAAACCTGGTAAAAATAAATGGTGTCAGGTGTCCGCTGAAGGGCAAAGAAGGAAATCGTTGGTTTCATTTTAAGGACTTGAATAGTGTGTGAATAATAAGAGATATGCCAAGCCTGGAACAATAAAGTTAGAACAAAATACTGAATAGCTACCTGCTAAGAGACCATCATTCACTCTGTGAACTGAATAAGACTAAGCCCTCTGGGGAAACATAGTGTATAACTGAACCATGAATAATTGTACCATTATTCATGGTGATGAATTATCTGATAACTTCTGAGTGTTTGACTGCATAATCTTAACAGTAATTCTTCCCAGCAGACTTTGGTTTTATGCAATATAGAAAAGATCTGTGTATACATAAAGGTGTGTGCATATTTTTGCCTTTTTTTTCACAATACCATGTTATATTTTGAGTCTATGAAGAAAAATGTGTTTTTCCCAATGTCTTCTTTCATTGTTTTGTAGAGTGGTTTTTAATTTTTATTTATTTAGTTTTTTGCCTCCAACAAGTCTGCTGTGAACTGTTAGTAAGCTTTATTGAAGCACCTCTGCATGGAATACTAAAGAAATGGGAACACCATGTATCTGACTCCTTCAAATTCTATAGTTTGGAGTAAGACAAGAATTACCCTTTTACCATTTTTATCATATGTTGGCAGGGCCTGTGAGTCTGCATCATTCTGAATGAGGAGTGTGGCAGGTGAAACTTGATTTGACTGATGAAGTAGTAGAAATGATGTAACAGCATCATAGAATCATAATTATTTAGGTTGAAAGAGACCTTTAAGATCATTGAGTCTAACCATTAACCTGGCACTGCCAAATTCACCATGGAACCATGCCCCTAAGCACCATAATCTTCTAAATACCTCCAGGGATGGTGACTCGACCACTTCCCTGGGCAACCCTTGCCAATGCTTATCAACACTTTAGGTGAAGAAACTTTTCCTAATGTCCAATCTAAACCTTCACCTGGTGCAACTTGAGGCGATTTCCTCGCATCGTATCACATGTTACTTGGGAGAGGAGACCGATCTCCACCTTGCTACAACCTCCTTTCAGGTTGTCATAGAGGATGATTAGGTCTCCCCTCAGCCTTCTTTTCTCCAGGCTAAACAATGTCAGTTCCCTCAGCTGCTCCTCACAGGACTTGTTTCCTAAGGATCTTTCACCAGCTTTGTTGCCCTTCTTTGGACACACTCCAGCACCTCAATGTCTTTCTTGGAGTGAAACGCCCAAAACTGAACACAGCATTTGAGGTGTGGCCTCACAAGTGCTGAGTACAGGGGTACAATCACAGCCCTGGTCCTGCTGGCCACCAATATTGAGCCCTGGGGAACACCACTCATGACTGGCCACCAGCTGAATTTAACTTCATTCACTAACGCTCTTTGGGCCCAGCCGTCCATCAAGCTTTTTACTCAGTGAAGAGTACACCCATCCAAGCCACGAACAGCCAGTTTCTGCAGGAGAATGCTGTCGGAAATGGTGTTAAAGGCTTTAATACATGAAGAGATCTTAAACTAAGAATGTTAAATTTTGGCGGCTGTTTGCTACCTGATATTTTGATTTGATGCCTTTTGTTCCTTGGTGAAAAGGAGGTTGAGGGGAGACCTTATCACTCTCTACAATTTCCTGAAAGGAGGTTCTAGCGAGGTGGGAGGCAGTCTCTTCTCCCAAGTAACAAGTGATATAACAAGGGAAAATGGCCTCAAGTTATGCCAGGGAAGGTTTAGATTGAATATTAGGAAAAAATTCTTCATTGCAAGGGTTGGAACAGGCTGCCCAGGGAAGTGGTTGAGTCACCATCTCTAGAGGTGTTTAGAAGATGCATAGATGTGGCATTAGAGATATGGTTTAATGCAATTCGGCAGTGCTAGGTTAACCATTGGACTTGATGATCTTAATTGTGATTTCATTCTACAAAATAACTGCCTTGCTTCCTCTTACTCTTCTGCATTTACCCACATGGCTATTATTGCTATTCGTTATTCTTTATTATAGTTTCATGATATTTGTCCTTAAAAGTTCTAACTGTATGCTAAACTTTGACAACTTGTACACTTCTGTGTCTTTTTTAACAATTGGCCTATTTTCTATAGTCTTTCATTCTGCTCTTAAAGGGACTGATTTCAGCTATACTTCAGCTCCCTGGGAACTCTTAGGTGAATACCACCTGGTCCTCGCAATTTGCTACCACTTTACAAATGACTTCTATAATCTTTTCTACTGACACTTCAATTGGACACAGTTCCTCAAATTTGTCTACTATGAAGAACAGCTTTGATGTAGGACCTTCACTAACATGTTCTGTAGTGAGCAGTGAGGCAATGAATTAATTTGCCGTTTCTGCAGTAGCATGATCTTCTTGCATGTTTCTTTTATATCTTGAGCACCTCTGGCCTTACAGATTCACTGGTAGTACCCCTACTCCTGCTCCTCTGTCTCTGCTGTGTTTGAAAAAAATCTGTGAGCCCATTCATGTCTATTTCAGTGCAACTTTTCAGCACCATTTTCAATGAAAAGTCATTGTCAAATATGGAGTATGTTTACTTTTTTACTCTCCTCTTTAAGTAAGACGTAAAGGGCTCATAATAAACAAGCCTTATGTCTTGCTGTTTCTGCAAGCAAAAATTAGAATGTCACATATTTCTCAAAGTTTTTCTTTTAACTAAGCAGGAAAAAAGTCTTAAATGACAGTATTTTATTCATGCATTGTAAGGAAAAAACAATGCATAAGCACAGTTTTAAAGTTTGGTTTTGATTTAGTAGCTTTCAATTAGAGAGGAGTAGTCCTCCAACTGTCAGGGTCTGGCAGACCTGCAATTGTCAGGGTCTACAGTTTGTGTATTTTTATTGTCATTGTGTATTCAAATTTTGAATTATATACTTAAGCATCAATTTTTAGGTGATTGTCCATGCAGTCTTATTATTTTTCTCCCTCTTTCAGTGTTTTACGGAAGTGTGCACAATTATGTACAGATTGTGGCCATTTCTTTTTAGAACTCTGATCCTAGAAGTAGAGAGGGTAAAGACTGTAACCAGCTGTAACTATGTTTCTGCTTAAATGCCAGTTCAGTCTGAGATGGACTTTACATCCAAGACTGTCATTCTAGTAGTTATCAGTCAGCTATCTAAAACTCTTTAGACACACTGCCAGTACAATGAATGACTGCTCAAGGAAATTTAATACACAAGTGGTCACTGAGATATTTCTGGAAGAAACATCAATAATTCAGGAATAGTGCACAATTTTTCTTTTCACGTGTGACAATTCTATAACATTTATTCATCATCCGTTAGTATCACTTCTGCCAAATATAAGTAAGTATGTGGAAAGGACTAACTTAGTGTGCCAAGTTAGCACTAGCACCTGCCCCATTTGTGTCAGCATCTTCATTCTGCTCACTCAAATGTGGTTTATGTTCTGTAGAAAATATTTTTCTTGATTTATATGAATGTCATATGTCCAACTTGTTTGCTATTTTACATGTAGAAATCCTGCTGAGCTCTGTGCAAGTGCTATGAGTATAGTGCTTTCACCATTACAGCATTTCACTGGTGTAGGCAGAGGTCTGCTTCATGATGCCTTTTAGAGAGTTTATCCTAATGCAGATTCTCTCTCCTATTTGAAAGGAAGTCTGCTTTAAAGAACTTCAAGTTCTGGAGCGAGATCTTGAAATATAATACTTTGAAATGGCTTTTGTCATATGTCAAAAAAGAAAGACTTCCCTCCGCCCCCTGCATTGTCATACATTAGCTTCTGAAGTGAATTAAAGAGTAGGGAGTGTATTATCAGAGTCTGGTTGTAAAGTTAGATTTATAGAACTCTCTACAGACATTGGGTTCATGGAGACTCACTTTTACTCCCCCCCATCTCTTAAATGTTGTTGCACAGATGCTTCCTCCAGAGTATTTTTCTTTTGTACTGTAAACTTTAAATATCCATAAAGACAAATCGTTTTGATAAAGAGATTCCTAGCTGTTCAGGAATGTTTTATTTATTTCCAGAAGAAGGTAATAATTCTCTAACCTTTTTCCACATCCCTGTCCTTCTGGAGGTGGGTGCCTTGGAACAGGCAATGCTGGATGCTTTAGTGATGGACCGTGTGGATTTTGTGAAGCTTTTAATAGAGCATGGTGTGAACATGCACCGTTTTCTTACCATATCTCGTTTGGAAGAGCTCTACAATACAGTGAGTATATGAAATCCCAGTGTATAACTTTACATAAGAATGCCTAGAAAGAATACTATCTTAACTAAGTTTAAGAGTCTTGACAATTAGGCCACATTGTTATGAAGGATTTTTGGAAAAAAGTTGAAAATTAACAGGGTTTGGTTATTTTTGGTTGTGATAGATTTGTGTCCCAGTTTTGTATTTTTGATTCATTGACATGAGCCAGACTGAGTACTCACCTAAAGCTCATGAGAAAAATGTACTGATTTTAATCTGGTATGTGATGCATGCTTATCTTGCTGAAAATGATATGTTGTTTAACCACAGTGGTACCACCCTCTGTCTAGAATACGTCAAGAATTAAGATAGAAGGGGTGTTGCAGATTGGTGGTGAAATGTTTTTGAAGAGGTTTGTCAAGAGAGTTTGAGTGGCAAGAGTTTGAATCACAGTAGCTTATCCCAAAGATCCTATCGCTGCTTTCTTTTACTGTATTGATTTCCTAACAGAGAGTGACATATTTGCTTACTGTCTTTCCTTTCACACCACAGAAACAAGGACCGTCAAATCTACTTTTGCATCACCTAGTTCGAGATGTGAAACAGGTAACAGACACAGGAGAGGCTGCGGAGTGAAAGTGGTAGCTTAGAGCTTCAGTGTGCACTAACACATTGCTATTAGGTAATACAGAGAAATTTTAGGAATAAAAGTAATGGGCTGGTTACTATGCTCCTGTATCTACTAATGGTTTTATCTTCAGCCCCTAAGCAATTAACTAGCATAGTACTACGGAATAATCCCAAGGGTCCTGTACCTTAATTTCAAAGCCAAGCAGTTTGTGCACATCAGACTCTAGTTCTCAAGTTACTAAAGTGACACTATGAACAGATTGTATGAAAGACTTAGTGAATTAGTGCAATAATTCTGCTCATGTCTTTAAGGTTTTTTTTTCCCCTAAAGCTAAAAAAATCTTTCTTTGTTGAGCAGTAACAAAAAGATACTGTGAAAAGATACTGTATTATTTTAATGTACTGCATTGCCTGGGAGAACAGAAGGTGGCGGTGGATGACTACTGCATGGAGCCCTGGCTTCCTTAGTTTAGTGTCAGCCTTCTTACTGAGCTACACAGTTAATGTATTTCGTGTATCTGTTGTACCTCACAGCACTGCTTAGCCAGGAAAAGATGAGCTGTTCTTTCTGCATTTAGTCTCCACTGTAGGAGGTGCCTAGATCCAAAACTAGGTTAAATGGCTAATTCATTTTAGGATATGAATGCTAAGATAAAATAAAATGGTAAGTCTGACTGATTTTAGAGTTCTGTGGTCTCAAGTAGTGGGATTTCGGGTATGATTTTCTTACTGGAGGTGATTCCTGTCAATCTCACTGATGATTCTGTAGATAGGTATCAGGTATTCTGATCTCCGTAGCAAGCTATTTCCTGTGTTTTCGCATACTGATGGATCTGAGGTCTAATTTATATGGCCAGTCTGGAAGATCTCAATGTTGAAAATACATTGAGATTTTCCAGACTCTTTCTCCATGATACTGAGGTGATTTGCTCCTTGATATGACCCTTCTCCTAAAAAGCGTGGTCTGGTTACACCTCAGGACAGTCTGGGGAAGCTCGGAATGTGATCAAAAGGGAGTATTTTGGCAGTTGGAATAGTGGAATTTTGGTAGAGAGTGAGTGCACAATTTCAAAACTTTCTACACCATTAGATGAGATAAACTCAGTTGGGACCTGCAAACAGCTCTAAATGCTGAAAAGCCTTTTTTCACCTGAACTTCTCTAAGTATGCATAAGTGCTCTATGAAAGGGTTGTTAACAGTTGCAGTCATATTAAATATGGTAACACAGTCACTAGGACAGTCACCAAAGTGATGTGACCATAGGTTTCAGAATATTTTTTTAATTACTGTAACCGGCTTTGTTGCTGCCACATTTGAATGGAGATACATTGCAGTCTGCCCTGATAGGGTGAAATATTCTTTTAGTGCAGAGGTGTATCTGTGAGTATAGATAGTCAAAAACAGTCACCTAACTCTCAGTGACGGAGTTGGCAAGCTCTATCCTGTGAGACCTGCTTTTACCCCAGAGGGCTCAGTATGTTGGTGACTTTTGTTCTCCAGGACTGGGTGGCATTAGCTGGCTGTACCGAGGCTTACCACTAAGGTCTATGGAAAAAACCCTGCTGTCTAATGATACAAATGACTTTGCAGTGTTTGAAAGACATACAACAATAGGAATACATGATCCCTCTAAACCCATCTATGTGTAGGCCTATTTTTCACTTCCAAGAATTGTGTTTTAGGGTATTGCCAATAATCTTTAAAATCTCTTTGGAAGATAATCTGTTCTTCACAGAATTTGTCACAAGGGCAGTGGAAGTAAACTGGAAAGCAGTCATGCTTCAAACAAAAGTGATGAGAGACTCAGAAGGTACAGCTAATGCAGCTGCAGCTGCTGTCCTAGTTATGTCAGTCTTGAGCCTCTGCAACAGATTACTAGTCTCCAGGAATTACTCTACAACATTAAATACATGCTTCATCCAATTAATTTTTGATTAGTGAACTAGTTTGATGAGCAAATCATACCATGCTAGTTTTCTTTTGTTGTGAGAGGAAGATTTTTATCATTCTTGCTGACTTGGTGATTAACCTGAAGAACCATTACCCTCACTGTTGAATGTAGCTGGTCTTGTGAACATTGCAGTGTACGTCCCTGTGTGGTGTGGCCTAAGTGGACTATAGATGTCACATTTCTCAGTTTGAAAATGTGGATGTCCCTCTGTTCTCTCTGTGTAGAGCAGTTTCATATGCCTAAGGAATGTGTACACTTGCCTGACAGATGCAGGAGCTCTCAGTTGCACCTTCTTCCAGACTCCTCTCATAGTAGTAGGCTCTGATACAGTTGAATGTTGCGTATAATAGCATCTTGAAGTGCTTGCAACATTTTGTCTTTCAGAATACCCTTTCCTTGGATTATAAGATATCACTGATTGATGTCGGGCTAGTGATAGAGTACCTCCTTGGTGGAGCTTACCGGAGCAGCTACACAAGGAAGCATTTCCGAATTCTCTACAATGATCCCTACAGAAAACACAGGGTAACTTCTATATAATGTCTATCACTGGCCACCCAGAAAACTCAAAATGTGACACCTGAAAATAGCTCGGGTTGTCATTGTGGTTTGTCTGAAGAGCAGCAGTTAAATGTATGCCATACTTGTCTGTTTTATGAATCTCGTTGCCAACTGTGGAGAGGTTGCAAATAAAACTGACAAAACCCTCCCCAAACCACACCCTGACCCTCAAGACCACCAGTGATTGTTAAGTATTAGCTCAATAAATTTACCTTTGTGTCTAGTAGCTGAGTTGTGTTCTTTGTCTGTCATCCACCAATAAAGATTAACAAGGCTGTGCCAGTCACCATTTTTCCTTTTGTGAAGCAGTTGCATGTTTCTGCTCTTGCAACTTGAACAACGTCAGAGAAGTACTGAATTCAACAGGCATTGAATTAGACTTAGAATATATCAGCACAGCATAATGAAGAGCAGCATGTAGATCCCTGGCCCACATTTTGACTAAATGCCAGTTTTTAGAAGCAGCTCAGTGGTAACAGTGCATCTTCCTGCTCTGTTGTTGTGGTTTAATTCCAGACAGCAACTGAGCAGCACACAGCCACTTGATCACTCCTTCCGGGTGGGATGGGGTGGAGAATCGGAGGGGTAGAAGTGAGAAAACTCATGGGTTAAGATAAAGACAGTCTAGTCAGCAAAGCAAAAGCTGCATATGTAAGCAAAGCAAAACAATGAGTTCATTCACCATTTCCCATGGGCAGGCAGGTGTTCAGCTGTCTTGATGAAAGCAGGGCTCCATCACACGTAACAGTGACCTGGGAAGACAAACACCATCACTCTCCACTTCCCCCCGCCTTCCTTCTTCCTTCTTCTTCCCTCAGCTTTATATGCTGAGGATGTCATATGGTCTAGGATATCCCTTTGGTCAGTTGGGGTTAGCTGTCATGATTGTGCCTCCTCCCAGGTTCTTGCCCACCCCCAGCCTACTCGCTGGTGGGGTAGGGTGAGAAGCAGAAAAGGCCTTAACCCTGTATAAGCACTGCTCAGCAGTAACAAAAGCATCCCTGTGTTCTGAACACTGTTTCCAGCACAAATGCAAAACATAGCCCCATACTAGCTGCTGTGAAGAAATTTCTGCCTAGCCAAAACCAGCACACGAGGCCATTGAGTTGTGTTTGCCTGGCTGAGGTTTTTTCATGACACGCTGGTCATCGCAGGGGAAGTTTCATGCTGGGTGTGCCAGGCTGCATCCATGGTGCAGTGGCTTTGTGTAGGTGGACGATTGTGCTTGTGCCATTCTGCACCTTCTAGATGCTTAAGGTGCACCTTCTAAATGCTTAAGCATTGTATCATGTCTGCATATCAGTAACATCACCCCTACAAACAGTCTGTCTCAGAACAAGAGTGCACAAACATACTAGCACTTTCATTTTCCCCATTGACTCTCCAAAATCAGTAACTTGAAAACAGCCTAAACTTCTCAATAAATTAGCTGGACATAATTCCTGACGTCACAGAAGGAGCAGATTTGCCACATAAGAATTCTCCCCCGTTTTCAGAGTGGGACTGGACTTCGCTTAAAGTACTTCCATATGTTAAAGAATAAACAATGAAAACCTCTCATTCCCATGTACTGCATTCATGACTAATAGAAGATCATCAGGGTGATCAGGATAAATGAGAAGAAATAATGAAAACTGCTACTTGGAGTGAATAGAAACACAGAGACAGAATGTGTTTCGCTGACTTAAGAAAATAGTTTAAAAGGGATGTTTGAGCGGTTGTAACATTCTTCATTGTATCTTCGTGAAATACGATCTTAACAAGGACAGGTGAAACCACACGATCATATAACTAGGAACTTTAGAGAAGAGCATTACTGATTCAGCTGGTAAAATTCTCTCTCAGTACACTGAACTAAATGCCCAGCTGTCCTTCAGAGGAAATGGTCAGCAAAAACTTCAGAGAACTTCTGTAATTTAAAGTGTTTATGGCACTTTTTGTAAGGGTAAGCACTCAGAAGAGCTTTCAGTTGGGTGATTCCTATCTGGTGCAAGCCCTCTTGTTGTTAGTGAATGCTATTTTGAATTTAAAGATTGAGAAAAAATATATTTTTTAAATCAGATGTGAAACAGACTACATTTTCCTTGATGGTGCAAGCTCCAGTGGTAGTTATAGTGATTACTTACTTAATAGTCTTTGAATAACAGTTTTTGCAGGCACCGTTGCAATCAGAAATAAGTACAGGCAAAACTCATCTCTAATTTGTGTTTCTATCCTTGTGTTTCATGGTATGCCTTTGGATCTAGAGAGTGCTCTCCAGCTTTTCTCAGAGCCTGTCTCATTCCCTTCATCAGAGTAATCAGATGGGTAGCAGAATGGGATCTGCTGAAAGTACTTTGCATTCTCAGTTCTTCAGAACAGCACAGCCTTACAAATACAAGGTAATACAGTTGCTTATTGTAGACTTTGCTTGGGACATATTGAGCTGCTCATCATTTTATTGAGAGATTTTAGACGTATGTTAATCAGGCTGTTGGTTACCATAATTCTTCCAGTAGCAACAACTGCTCATGGTTCATAAAGTAGAAGTCTTGTAACTTTAATGTTGGATTCAAGCTCAGACTCCTCCACTGCTAATTTTTAGCTTCCATCCATTTGCTGCCAAGGACTTTCCTTTAGTGAAATGTAGCATCATCAAATATCTGAACATCAAGCATGTGTGAAAACTCTTCTTATTTGAAAGCAACAGTAGGAATTCTCTGACTTTCGTGATGTTTTCTGATGACTACTTATTGAAGTAGCTGCGGTAAACCTGCTAAGAGATATGGTTCTGATATCTGAAAAATGATGACAGTATTTTCTGTCAGAGAAAGAATGAGAAAAGAGCAGAGATTGTCACATGCTTGTATCTGGGAGGTAAAACAAAGCAGAATATATTTAAATGGCTTTATTGAATTAGTCTAAGCCGAAAGGAACCTGTGATAGCACTGACACAACCTCACTTACATGAGTAAAGTTTTTTCTTTGCCTTTAATGGAGCAATACCAAGACGCAAATGTATAGCAAGTTTACAAGTGTGGCAGACAGTAAAAATCATCTTTTAGTATCACAAGTGCATGGTGTATATCTCAGTCTACTGATTGCTTTTTCTCCTAGAATGACACAAGTACAAGAAAGGAATGCAAGTAGGATCTTGGTATCACAGGGCTTGGAGGGTGTCCATCACTATGGAAGGGGAGGTTATAAATGGCATGGGTACAGAGCAAAGAGTGTTTATCATCCACCTTCTTAGCACTGGTAATCTGAATGTGATCTTAGCTGTGGTTTATGACTTAAATGTGTACAACAATTAAATAGGTTGCTATTTGCAATTCACATTTATGTGCAAGTTTATTTACATGAGTATGAACCTCAACCAGCCAGTCATTGAGATTTACTTTTGTTTTTGAAAAAACCCAAATTTATAGGAAAGATCCACTGCTTTTCATAAGTATAAGAAGAAATCAAAAGAGGATATGAACTTTGCAGAGAACTGTGAATCATCTGGCTTTACGTACCCGTATAATGACCTCCTGGTTTGGGCGGTATTAATGAAAAGGCAGAAGATGGCAATGTTCTTCTGGCAGCATGGAGAGGAAGCCATGGTCAAAGCCGTTGTGGCTTGTAAACTCTACAGAGCGATGGCACGTGAAGCTAAACAGAGCAACATGGTGGATGACACTTCAGAAGAACTCAAGAAGTACTCAGAGTATGAGATCTCCCTTCACTTCAGTTAATAAAAGTCTTTTTTTTACTAATCCACTAAGAGTTTGTAAAGTTAGTCGTGCAGGGACTATGCAGCGTAAAAGGAATATGTTCACCTCCCCACTATACTTATCATATAATGGAGCTATGTATTGATATGCAGTCTGGTTAAGTGTTAAAGAATAGCTATTAGCATGTTATCTAGTTGCATATTTGAAAACTGAAATATAGAGGAGTAATGCATGGCATACTGTCTCCTAAATGGTCAAGAGGAAGACTCAGATTTCCAGTTCAACTTGTTAAAAAACGATATGTCACATATACATTGGACTTGTAACATGTGGTAACGAGAAAACCAAAATCTGTGCTTAAATCCTGCTCTGCATAAGACTTAAATAACCAAGTGAAGAAAAAGTAAAGTAGACCAAGAATCTACTCCCGAGTTTGTAGTTCCATGTTAGTGTTTTCTGGCAGTTTCTCTTGTTAATGGTGTACTGTATGCTTTGTAGAAATCATGCCTCAGATTCTCTGCTGTCTTGTTTTGCTTGCAGCTCTAAATCTTAATTTTAAGGAAGGTGTATCTTCATTGAGGAATCTTCTCTACAGAGATGTTTAAGAGCCAGTGTTGCTTTTGCAGCTGCCTGCGATGCTTGCCAATGTGGTGATGAGTCTGTTGCTGAAGGAAATACACAGAACTTCATAGGGTCCATTTTGATCTTTGAATGAGGTTAAGAACAAAACAGATAAAAAAACCAGAAAACAGAGCTACCCTGAACCTTGTGATTATGGCTAAATAAATATACTCCACAAATTTTTTTTCACTAGGCATATTGATAAAGCAATGGAAAAATCGGAGAAGGCATACTTGCTGAGATTGTTTGCTGAACTGTAGTGAACAGAGTTTTCAAAGCAACCTCTTTACAGCAGTGATTCTGAGTTCTGGCTAATCTCTGTTCTATTAACTATTAATTCTTTTCCGCTCTAGGGAATTTGGGCAGCTTGCCTTAGATGTTCTGGAGAAAGCATTCAAACAAAATGAGCAGATGGCCATGAAGTTGCTGACCTATGAACTGAAAAACTGGAGCAACTCAACTTGCTTAAAACTGGCAGTATCTGTGGGGCTGCGGCCTTTTGTATCCCATACTTGCACACAGATGCTGCTGACTGATATGTGGATGGGACGCCTGAAGATGCGGAAGAATTCCTGGTTTAAGGTAACATCCCTCTGCCTTTTTCTGAGCATTTATATACTGTTTAGGGCCTTGTACATGTCTTTGTGATTATGAACGTGTCTAATGCAGCTTCAGACAGATGTGCTCTGACATGGTTTGGAATGTGCACATCTGGGAGACAAAAGAAAGGCAGGGAAGGAAGACAGTACTTGCTTCTGGTTTACTTGTTTGCAAAAACCGCTGTGAGATGACAGTAGGAGAACTGTATTTTATGAGGGTTTTTTTGGTGTTTGCATTCTCTGAGCGCCCTTCAGTCCTTCCCCATCTGCTCTTGCTGCCCTCCATTTCTGGTTGTCCAGCAGAGCTGCTGATGGGAGGAATTCCTTCTGGACAAAGGAAGCAGCATCTAAAATATTTCCATATGCCATGACATTCTTTAAAGCTGCAAAATGGTCAAAAGGAATACACTTCTTTAGAGGCTGTGAGAGTGTGATACAGAGATTCCTCACTCCAGTGACTTCCTCCTAGGCTAGTAGAATTGCACTGGGTTGGTGCTGGCACCATGCATGGCTGACTATGGCCTCAGGTATATGCTATCACAGCTAAATTAATTTCCTGAACCTTATGTCTCTCTTTTAGGTCATTATGAGTATTCTCTTGCCTCCCACCATCTTGATGCTGGAGTTTAAAAGCAAGGCAGAAATGTCTCATGTGCCACAATCTCAAGACTTCCACCAGTTCACATGGTATCATGGGGATCAGTGTCCAACCAGCAATAAAGATGCCTTGTCTCTGGTTAGTCTGCAACAAGTAGTCATTTGTGTGTCTGAGTCTGTGAGTCTGTCTGTTTAGCATAGTATAATCCTAAGGAGTGAGAAGAAGCTGATCAGCTGGAAGTGTCAAGGCCCAGTTCTTAAGAAGAAGGGGTTTGATCCTTGGCTTGGATATGGACTGAAGTGACATTGGACGAGTCAATTCATCTGTCCTGGGTGTCACTTCTGTACTGGTCATACTGGGAAAATCCTTCCCAACCTCACAGAATTTTAATGAGATTATAATTATCTGTCAATTACACAGCCATTTTAGGGCACAAAGTGTATTCAAGCTGCCAATAAATACCTGTGTAGTCTTGTGTACTGATTAATCTAAGAATGGTTTCATATCATACACAAAATCACATTCATAAAACTAAATTTGGGTTGCTCAGTTGAGCAGGCCAAAGCAGAGAAACAGCAGAACTGAAATAGTGCAGGTCCTGTCAGCTCCAGTTCACGCCTTCTTCCTGCTTTGCTTGGCCAGCAGGCTCTGCCCTGCATCTCAGCCATAGCTTCTCCCACTCGCCATGGCCATCCTTCACTCTTAGCCTCTCCTTGGGATTTTGTTTCATGAATTACACCCTAGCACTTCGGGTACTTCTGTGTTGCTTAAGCCTGGCAGAGGTGTCATTTAAAGCACAAGAGAGGCACTGTGCCTTTGGTTTAGTCACCTGAAGCGAGTCCTGACAAGCTCTCCAGGGACCTGCGGTCGCACAAAAGTCCCTCGTATACCTGTCTGTGAGGAGTCTCCAACATAGATGAAGTCTTTGCCTTTTAAGATCTTATGTGTCCTGGACTTCTGCTAAGCAAAATTGCCTGTCCTTTTGTTTTCTCGTTCTCCACAAAGCATTCCTTGAACTGAAAATTTCCAAAATCTTTTGGTCTGAGGTAGACGGCAGACATGGAGCATTTCCATCCAGAAGGTTAAATGTTGGTGAAGTGCTGAGCAATGAAGACAGGATCATCAAGTGAGAGCTGCCAGACAATCTTTTTTGCTTACTCTGATCATCTAACAGCAGATAAATGTAGATTGCTTGGGACCTTTTCAGATGATTTGTGTAAAATAAAAGAGGGTGAATTGTTGTTCAAGGGCTTTCACAGTAGCATGACAGGCCTGTCAATGCCACACTTGTGTTTTCTCTCTCTGATGCATGCTCAAAGTCATCATCTCCTGCACTGCATGGTGAATACAGTCAGTTCAAAAATGCTGTTTATGGGGTTAGGTGACAGGTATGATACAGAGGATAGGCCAATTGTAATTATTTGCAGCAGGACCACCCCTGCAGTGTGGTAGAAGGCCACACAGCAATGTATGTAAGCACTTCTCCGACTTTCCTCATCAGGGGTGCTTCCTTCCTGTGCTAGCAGTAAGCTTAACCTCTGATTTTATCTTATATAAAGTGTTGTTTAAAGCATAAGGATGAACTGATGCCTTTTCTTAAATACTCTGATATGAAATATTATTGGAAAATGCACAGAAAATTTCAACAGCAAACCTGTGGCATATAGAGCATCTTTTACGTGCAATCATTATTTCTGTGGACCTTCTGCAGCTGAAGATTGCGCTCTTTTATGGGGCAAATTCCCTCCTTCACTCTGAAGGATCTGATGTTAACACATGGGGATAGTACTGTGTATCAAATTCTCAGGTTTAGCACTTTTCTGAGTCTAATGTAATGAAAAAACATCAGTTTTCCCCTGATAACCCGTTGAAACTTTGTTGTGTACTAAATATGTCATATAAAAAGTGCTATTCTGCAGCTGTCCAGTAGCTCTAAGTCTTAGCATTGAATGAGCCAAGGCAACAGACTAGCACTGAAACAAAACATTGGTTCCTTCAGCCTTGCCCAGTTACTAGCTGTTTATAGTTCCCCCAGGCCTATGTTCTTCGTCCCTGAAAACTCTTTTCAACACCTTCTGGTTTTGTGAGTTACCCACTGCTATGTGTCTGCAGCTCTTCTCAGGTTTCAGTGGCAATCAACTATTTGTGCTTCCAAAGGAGTGTTCAGACAAGTGTCTAACTTGGGATACAGAATTAACTGTGTTTACTTTCTTGGTTTTGTTTTTTTTTTTATTTTACTGAATAAGTAAAGAAGCTACTTGTATTTTAGGTAGGCAGATCTTTATAAGAGAGTATTTCATTCTCATCTTCTAATCAGGCATACAATACATAAAAAATAGCAATTAGATTGTGTGTTTAGAATTTCACTCCCTTGGCATTTTCTCTGCAATTGTATACATGAGTGGAAACGTGATGTTCATTCCTTTATTTCTGAATGTGCCACAGTTGTCAGTGGAGTTTTAGCTAACACTGTTATGTCACATTGGGAGTTATTTTATGTCTGTATTTCACAGATGGGGGAAAGTGAGATGCAGAGTCATTAAGTGACTTTGCTAAAGAGTTAAATAAATGTGTGGCAGAAGCAGGAGGGTTGTGTGCAGTTCTGCTGACACCCACTCCACTGCCTCTAGTCCTAAGAGCAAATTCTGAATGAGTGTTGTGAGTGGAAATGTGTGTGGGCTAATTATAGCAAATGAGATGGGTAATCAGACCAAATCTAGATACAGAACAAAGTTTCTGTATTCAGAACAAAGCTTAAATATGACATAACCTTTGCAATCATAGATCATAGTTTCTTACTTTTACAATATTGTTTCCTTTTAAAGAAGGATTATGATGTGGAGAAGGTTGCCCAGAAGTCTGATGAAAGCCGAGTAGAAGGTGGACAAGGAAACCTGCCTGGCACTAGAAAAATCTACGAGTTCTACAATGCACCAATTGTCAAGTTCTGGTTTCACACGGTTGGTCATCACACTAGAACTCAGAATGCTAAACCCCTTCTTTGATCCTTCAAATACCCCTTGATGCTACTTATACTTTTCCTAGCATGGATTTGCAGCCACTTAGTGATGGGAGTGAATTGAAAGATATTTGACTATTTCTTTCACAATTAAGTGAGAAGGTTTTCTGATAAAGTCATGCAGCTGCACTGAAAAAAGAAAACCAAAACCAAACCCAAACTACTATAAAGAATTAAAGAAAAATTCAAGTACAGAGCACAGTTTTTGACAGTGGTTAATTACACATACAGAGGTAGATTTTAAGCTGGACATAAATACCTTAAATACCTCACAGACATTTGTGTCCCTTTCTTTAGGAACTGTTTTTGAAGGAGGGAACATTAATCTATAAGATATAAGTTGTCATAGAGAAATATGGATTTATTAAATCAATTTTAGTAACTAACACCGTGTCAGTAGAGCTTAGGATATTTAAGATCAGGCTGCCTGTTGGGTCAGACCATCGTGGACATAAACTGCTACTCCTTTAACAGGATGTGGTTAACTGCTTCATAGGTTGTTAGTCTGTTATCTCAGATACATTTATAATGTGTTCTGGAACCTTTAAAATACACGATACTGTCCCTCCTGTGTTTTGGAAGGCACTGGTTAAGCAGCAGTGATTGATGTAGCTTTGTGAATAGTTACTTGCTCCTACAGAAGCTTAGGATAAATGCATAGCACTGCCTTTACATTCGAGTAATGTTGTGCAGATAAAATAGTCTGTCTCGTATATGGGTTTGGGGCCTAGATGAACATGCACTACAATAGTTCGTCTTCTGATTCTGATTTTCAGCACTAGAAACACCAAGATACAAATATTGCTTAAGGATGTTACCATAAAAAGTGCTTCGGAGAATCAGAGGAAAGATTTAGGGCTCAAAAATCTTACAGTGCCCCAGTAGTTTGAATACATATAGTCAGGTTAGTCATGTGCTAATCTATTTTTAGAAATTTGTTGTAGATTTTTGCGCGTATGAATTATGTGCTGTGTGTTTTGTAGATGGCATACATGGCGTTTCTCATGCTCTTCACTTACACTGTCTTGGTGAAGATGGAACCAAGTCCGAGCGTGCAAGAGTGGCTTGTTATCATTTATGTTTTCAGCACTGCTATTGAAAAAGTCAGGGAGGTAAGATTTTCCATTCACACTTCTTATCTGTAGGGGTTACATTATAAAACCAGAGAACACCGTGAACTGAAGAATGGCAAATCCTGAATATGTTTTGTAGAAAATTTAGCAAGGGAAAGAATTAACAGTGAATTTGTTTTTGAGAAGTCTTTTGTCTGAACACTAGTACTTGGGCTTTGAAAATGAATCTTAAAGTTTGTCCTCAAATCTCTTACTTTTCTGTGTAAAGCCTGTGGCAATGTGTGGGTCAGTTGAGAGTAATTGTGCTGAACTGAGATTTGAACCCCTGATGCAGGCATCAGTTCCTTAACTTCTTTTAGTGAGCCATTAGATTTTGTCTGATGTATACGAAACTTAATGCTTAGATGTTTACTTTGAGTGTGGACATTGTTATCAATTAATAGATGTTATGCATAGAGTCGTCTGTGGCTTTTCATCAAGTCTAATTGACCCTCTATAAACAAAACTGGGAAAAAAACCCATGAACTTTTAATGCTAGATTCAGGGCATGAAAAGCATGGAAAAATGATATTCCAATCAAAATTATTTGCAATTATTAGCAGTTGATTAGATCTGATCTTCTGAACACAACTTGCACACCAAACCTGAGGTTACAGATGAAGACAGTTGGGTATTTCCCAAATTATTTTATCTGAATGGACATATCTTCACTGCAGAATTGGCACATAGTAAACAATAGTAGAGTGAATTGTGAAATGATGTACTTTTAGAGGAATAAAACTGCAAAAAAGCTGTCACAGTCCTGACTGAAGGATGCAATTACAACAGATAGTTCAGAAAACTGCATCACCAGTACACAAGAGGTGAAAGATTTCAAGGGGCAGCAGAAATGCTGGGAATATATTGAAGCTTGGATGAACATAAAAGTTCTGTGACTGAGTGAGATAAGGTTGAAAAAATCTGCACCAGTACTGTCTGAGAAAAAAAATTGAATGTAAAATAGTAAGCACTTTGGAAATACTGTTGTGCTGTTGCATCATGTTAATGGTAGAACATCAACTCTTCTTTCTAGCATTAGCATTCATTGGAGACTGAAATTAATGTCTTCTACTTGGTTTTCTTTGTCCATGTACTAGTTCTGGTCTGCTAGCAAAGACTTTGTAGGACACAGTGTCTTACATGTGCAGCTAATTAACTGCTGAGGGCCTTGTTATATAAAGCTGCAAACCTCTATTTCTCTAGATTGTATCAACTAATCGTTAAGGCCTTAGGCCCTCACCCAGAAACTCGTCTAAGTTAGTCCAGCTAAATTGAATAGGATCACTTGCTTACATTAATGTGTTCATATGTGTAAATTCTTGCAGGATCAGGGTGTAATATTTCAAAATCTCTCATTTGCTTGGTACTTATCAGTGTGATCTTACATAGCACTGCATAATTGGCCTCATTTGTACAATGTGCAAATATTCTATTTATGGCCTCCAAAAAATTCCACTTCATGCATTTGCTCAGTGAAGCTTAAAATCCCTTTGGGTCACCTCACAATTCAAGGAGTGAACATTTCATTCTTTAACTTGCTAGTTGCTAGCACTCCTTTTTTTAGCATGTCCTTGGTAGAATACAAGGATCTTTATATTTTCAGTGTGAAATAAAAGGCTTTAGTTATTTTCCCATCACCAAGGTTAAGTTGGTACTTCCCATGACTTAGGGCCTTTTGAAAGCTCTGTTGCAGGTTGTAACTATTCCTCTAGAAAATGCTTGTTAATTTATAATGATACGTACATAGAACAGCTCTGTACTGGCTGCTCTTTTCTACTGGGAAATATGCTTTTTAGCAAATGGATTGCAGTATACATTTTTCCATAGGAAGAGCTGTCCGATTTGGTGTGGCATACTTGAGAAATACCACACTATAGATTAAGTATAAACCTCAATTAATGGTGAATGGCAATATGCAGTACATGGTCATGCAAAAAAAAGAAAAAGTTAAAGAATATGCTTTCCCAAATATCATGAAATAGTACAGACAGAAGAGGTTAAAGAGTGTATCTGTGATTTTAATACAGTTTCTTTTTTGTTGTTGTTATTTTCATTTTGTTTTATTGGGTTTTTTTTCCCTCTACATTCTACTCAGGTATTTATCTCAGAACCTGGAAAATTCCGAAAAAAAGTGAAGATGTGGATTTATGAATACTGGAATTTTACTGACTCTATAGCTATCGTCCTGTTTATGATAGGTTTTGGCTTGCGCTGGTCTGACGCCCCTGCTCAAACTGCAGGGAGGCTACTTTACTGCTTGGATATAATATTCTGGTATGCTCGACTCCTTGATCTTTTTGCTGTGAATCAGCATGCTGGCCCATACCTGACAATGATTGGGAAAATGGTAAGTATTATCCTTTGGAGCAATATTTTTGTGGTTAAGGCATCTGCCAAGTAACATACAAAGGTCAGAATAGACAGAAAGAATGGTGGTCAAAGGAGGGGTCACCTAGTAATTTTTAGTGAATGTGTTACCTGAAAATACTATGTTTTTTTCTGTTTGTGAGTTGACCACAATCAGATTTCAGTTCTAATTTATTCATTATTTGAATTATTCACAAAAGCCAATTTTGTTTAATTCCTTAGAGAAGGAATCTGAGTTTCTAATCCAGCTTGATAATAGGAGGAAGAAAAATCACTGTCTCTTGCAGACTGGTTTACTACCATAGATAATTTCCCTAGCTCTTGGAAACTGTCTCATTATTATTTTACATTTTGATTCAGATAATTAAATCCCGTTTTAGCAAGCAAAATTTCTCTGAGATCAAAGTTAGGGGTTTTTTTTCTTTTGGTATAGGAACTGCTGCTGAACTGCTGTCTAGTCTTGAGGGACATCTGCAGATTCCCACTGTAACTTCCCTTGGTTATTGGGAACTATCTTATTAATACTTTTATATTCTGTCTTTCATAGTAATTGAAATTCAGTGTTAGGAGGCAAAATCATTTCCACTACTATTCCTTGCTTCAGTTTGGAAGAAATACCACTGAGAAGATGCAGCATCATAAGGTCTCTGCATTTTTTAAGTCTTGCTTAAGAACTTAAGAGTGACTTGAGAATGAAGTAGGACTTGTAACCTTTTAGATCAAGGGTGACTTTAACCTCTATGAGATACTAGGTGGTCCAGGTCATAGAAATAAAATGTTTTTATTTCCTGCAGCATATTAGATTATTAGCCCTGTATTTATATTCTGATTTCTAAAAGCCATGACTGATACTCTTCCCTAAAATGTGTGTCTCTTTACATACAACTAACAGAGCTAATTCTTTCATGCAAACATGCCTTCTAGACAGCAAACATGTTCTATATTGTGGTCATGATGGCCATAGTTCTGCTGAGTTTTGGAGTGTCACGGAAGGCAATCCTTTCACCAGAAGAGCCTCCTTCTTGGACTCTGGCACGAGACATTGTATTTCAACCCTACTGGATGATGTTTGGTGAGGTGTATGCTGGAGAAATAGATGGTAGGTAGTTTTCACAGTACAGCTCAATAGCTTAAATTTAGTATCTTCATTGCTGTTTAATATATTCATCAATGATATAGACAGTGTGATTGAGTGCACCCTCAAGAAGTTTGCAGATGACACCAAGAGAAGTGGTGCAGCTGATATGCTGAAAGGACAGGTTGTCATCCAGAGGGACCTGGACAAGCTGGAGAAGTGAGCCCGTGTGAACATGTTGAGGTTCAACAAGGCCAAGTGCAAGGTCTTGCACTGGGGTTGAGGCAATCTTCATTATCATTATGGTCTGGGGGATGATGTGCTGGAGAGCAGCCCTATGGAGAAAGACTTGGGGATACTGATGGACAAAAAGCTGGACATAAGCCACCAATGCATGTTTATGGACCGGAAGGACAATCAGATCCTGCACTGCATTAAAAGGAGCCTGAGTAGCAGGTCAAGGGAGGTGTTTCTGCCTCTCTGTTCTGCTCTTGTGAGACCGTATGTGCAGTACTGCGTCCAGCTCTGGAGCCCCCAAGAAAGATGTGGATCTGCTGGAAAGGGTCCAGGGGATGGCCACAAAGATGATCAGAGTGATGGAGCACCTCTCCTACAAAGACAGGCTAAGATAGTTGGGGCTTTTCAGCCTGGGGAGACCTTATGGTGGCCTTCCAGTACTTGAAAGGGACCTCCAGAAAGGCTAGGGAGTCACTGTTAGCAAGGGCATGTAGTGATGGGACAAGGGACAATGGTTTTATACTAGAGCAGGGTACATTTAGATTAGACATTAGGAAGAAGTTCTCTGCTATGTGGGTGGTGAAACATGGGAACAGGTTGCCCAGAGAGGCGATGGAGGCTCCGTCCTTGGAGAGAGTCAAGATCAGGCTCGATAAAGCTCTGAGCAACTTGATTGAGTTCAAGATGACTCTGCTTACTGCAGAGAGGTTGGGCTATGTGGCCTTTAAAGGTCTCTTCCAACACAACGCATTTTATGATTCCAGTATGTGCAGAAACGTGTCCACTTTTGGCTGCTAGAGTTCTGACTACGTACTGAGTCTATTCTTTCTCAGACAATTTTGATTGCAGTATCTCTCTATATATGTCATTAATGAGTAAAAGTGAGAATGTTAGTTTCTTTGTTAAGAATAAAGATCAAGCTTTAAAACTTCCAAATTTAACTTTTCAAATGAAGTATATTACAAAACTCAGCACAAAGCGGGTAGTAACTAATACTATGCTAGTTCATGGTCAAGAGATCTGGCAGTGAAATGAATTTCCAGTTAGGTGAATCCAAAGCTGATGACCTCTTGGAGAAAAGACTACAAAGTTACCTTAAAGGAAGAAAAAAAATATAGAGAAAATGAAAAAAAGGAAATATAAGAAAGAAAAATTATTTTTCACCATTGTTTTCTGGCATCATTCTTAAACAGATAAACCAGTTGAACATAGGAAAAATAGAACCAACCAATGTAAGAGAGTAAAATGTTATATCTTGGTTATGGATCTGACCTGGACTCAGTAAGAGAGAAGTAGCAGACACTCCAAGGAGATATTTTGACATTACAGGTGGAAGGCTAGGTGATGGGTACAATTAAAACAGTCTCTAAAACAGAAGAGTAGGTATGCCAATACATGCAGATATTTCAGATATCTACCTCAGCATAGAACAGATTAATTAAAATAGTCTAAGATATTGCATGTTATAACTGATGAAACAGTTACATGACAGCTTTGTATTTTTGTTATATAAATCAAAATTGTCTTTAATGAAAGGACACTCTGAAGTTTTACAGTTTAATCTATTTTATCAGTTATTAATGCTAAGCCTTTAGAAATCTGACACTTCCCAAATAAAACTATGATTTCTGTAATGACTCTTTACGCTGCTGAATGTAGGCATGTTGCCTCATAAATGTGTTTTAAAATTTTCTCAGAGGTGTAATATTTGATTAAAAATTATAAAGACTGAAAAGTATTTATTTTTAACAATTTAGAAACACTAAGACAGATCTTCTAATTTCTACGATTTGTTGCTTCATCTCATAAATATTTGTAGCCATATAACCTTTTGCATGTGAGTTAATGTAATCTTACTGAAGCTCTAAAGGAACAACACTCCAGTACTGATAAAGCAGCTTCTACATTGTATCCTTTCCACAGTGGAGTCAGTGAAAGATTTTCACTTGCTTTAGGGGTCAAAGATTTGGATTTTAGTTTACTTGAGTGTGTGCCATCTTCTAAATATATTTCAGCTGCACCATTTTTCCCCGTAACAAAAAGTTGAGGTGACAAACATAAGAACTGATATGCAAGAAATGGTGTCTACATCTTCCAAATTGCTATGGAAACTACCGGGCAGTAGTATCTTGAAGAGGTCTCAGATCTCCTTTATGTGGAGGTAGATTTTTTAGTTGGAAATTTACTAATGTATCTCCATGAAAGTAATGAGGACTATTCTGTTTTTAATTGGGGCAAATGAATAGCATATGCCAGTGCTGTGGTCTGCTCTGATTAGCGTGGTAACCATGCCTGTATTTCCTTCACTTGCAGTCTGTGAAACCAATGAAGACTGTCCTCCTGGCTCCTTCCTCACACCATTCCTCCAAGCTGTCTACCTCTTTGTGCAATACATCATCATGGTCAACTTGCTTATTGCTTTTTTTAAGTAGGTGCCATGGTATATTGCTGCAAAAGCAAAAGCAACTAATAGGCTTTCTGCCAACACTTCTGCAAAAGCCTTTCACCAAATGTTGATGGTGGCTGTTATCCAAACTTCCATGGGGATGTGCTGACTAAAGATGAATAGTGGAAGCAAGAGGGTAGAAAGAAGGGGATGGTGAGCAGGCGCCTAAACTGTTTTGCCATTTCAGCAGAATCTGACTCTGTGAAAGTGGACAATTCCAGTTGGTAAATAAGCAACAATAATTCAGCAGTCTAACCCAAGCAGTTAATTATTTTTTCCTGCTGTTCAAGTATTTTGGGCGGAGAAAAAGTCAGGTATAAGTTAAAAATTTTTTTCAAAAAGAGTAATGTGGTGATTAATATTCAAGAAAACGAAATGATCAAAACTCATTCTATTCCCACTTCCAATTAGAAATCCCTTTCCTGAAATTGTGGCAAGACATCAATTATTTTTTTTTAATACACACCTGTGAAATTGTAATTTGAATTATTTCTAGATTTAAACCTTCATTGATGATGATATGTTAAATCTTCTGCCTAGTGATTTGATTGTTCCAGAAGTGGGACTTAAAATGAGTATGAACAATATATTTAATTATGCTCCCAGAAGCAAAGCTGATGTTTTTGTGACTTTAAGCTGGGTGTCTAGTATGATGGTGCAACTGAAATTACACTGCCAGAAACCACAAAGTTGCTTTCCTGTACTTGTCAATGACAGTAGATACGGGAAATTATTCAGTTTTGTTTAACAATATCATGTCTAGAAATAGTACCTTGCAGAAGAATCATTCATAGAGCTGCCTCTTACAGAAAGTATTTTGGCTCTGGGCATTGCACAAAACTGTTTTGTTAACACTCTTCTCTTAGCCTGACTCCTACATCTAATCCAGTCCAAAGAGGCAGACAATGTTGAATTCTCAGTTAGGCTATGTATTAAAGTTTAAATAATCTGGCTGAGATTTCAGGGATATTTTTTGCCCAGTTCCCATTAATGTGAATGGGAATTGAATCTCTAAATCTGCTAGGCAGCTTTGAAGATCTCATTCTCAGTGTGGTAGCTGCAGGCATATGCTGCTGCTTTGTTAACTGAAAGTTGTTAAGCTGGTTTATCTCACTGGAGGGATGGGACTTTTCTTCAGTGTAAAATTAGATCTGTAGACAAGCGTCTTGGTCTGTACTAGGAATATTCCTCACTGGAGTGTTCTACCCTCCTTTCCCCTCTATCTCTCTTCTCAGTAATGTTTATTATGATTTGAAATCCATATCAAACAAGATCTGGAAGTATAACCGGTACCGCTACATTATGACCTACCATGAGAAGCCGTGGCTGCCTCCTCCCTTCATCCTCCTGAGCCACATTGCACTTCTGATAAACCACATCTTCCACCATCGGCCCCCAAATGAGTTGGATCAAGAGGAAGGCGATGTTGGACTAAGTAAGCAGAGCTAAGCTGGGGACCAAAAGAATAAGCTGATGAGATGAGGGATGTTTTGCCAGCCTCCCATCACTTTTTATCTCAGTTCCTCCAGGGGAAAAAAAAAAAAAAAGATAAAAAAAGATTCTCTGGGTAGGAGGCTGTTTTTATTTGCAAGATTGAATTTAACTGACATGTCTGAGAGCTCTTATAAGAAAATGTGACTAGGGGAATGTTTTGCTTAATATATGGCTTTTGCTGTGCTACAAGCTGTGCAGCAGTCAAGATACATCACAAGTCTGAGCTGAAATAAAGCAACAGTAGCTTATTATGTATGAATGAATGGCCTTATTTTGAAAGAAAGTGGAGATACACGTTTCTGTATATTTGTCCTGAGAAGATCAACAATCCGTTTTTAATTGCCCAGAGGGGGTAGCTGCAAAGCCTGAGGACAGAGGAGATCCAGCGATGTCAGATGCAGAGAGAGAGCACAGGGGCCTCCAGCCTTCCCACTGTGTATCCTTCCCTTTGTGCACTAGCTTATCGCTGCACCTTAACCACACTTCCTTTCCCTTCCCAACCTGGATATCTCCATGCCAATGTCCTTCCAAATACCTCTTTAAGACAATGCAAATCCCACTGTTGACATCTCCAGCAGCTCTGCCAGCAGCAGCCGTGGCCATTGTGGGGAGAGTACCACAAGATATAGGGATGGGAATGAATACTCAGTAGTGGGGTTTGGTGGTTAGTGGGGTGAGGCAGAGCAGTAGGGAAGAGGTGACTGTAACATCTAAAAAAACATTGGGGAACAGAGGTGCATGGTATTATTATACATCCTCATAATTTTTGATGCAATGTACATCCTGGATGTCTAATAACATAAGTGAGCGGACCCTGCCTGTGTTATGCTTCATTTAGGATTTTCTCTGCTGAACATGAATCCCTGAAGTTATCTGGCACACTCACAGGTAGTTATAGAGTTCAAAAATGGGTTTAACTAATCAATGCTGAGCTGCTTTACTGCTGCTTCCAGGCTCGGCTCTGCCATCAGGACTGGATACCTCAGCCTGTTTTTGAAGTACCACTGCTTATTTTATATGCATGCATAATATAAGCCTCTGACATAGGATAGAAGGTATCTTACTTGTGAGGTGCATTAGGCGAAAGGAAAACTGAAACACTGCTTAGCACATATAAAGGTGGATAGAAGGGGGCTTATACCTTGCCTACAGTTCTCTCAGAAAGAGACTTTTTTTCTGTTTATGTACATTCATGTCACTTTTCTGCATACCTATGCATTGCTTGATAAGTTTCTTCTACTTAAATTTTAGCGATAATTAGCTGGTTTTAGCAATGAGGATTCAGTGTCACCCTGTGGAAAATCCATTAAAATCCAAAAATGCAGAAAGTAAAATATTGGGGGCAAGAACACAGATGGATTGGGGGATAAAGAAGCCTAGGAGGTATTCAAGTGTCATTGGGAGTGAAAGCAGAACTCCAGAACACGGCGGGGGGCTTCCCTGCTAGTTATGTGTTGCAGTTGAGTCCTACACACTTGTAGCAAACACTGCCATTTTTGCTTGGCACAGATACCCCAGTAGCAAGTACAGTGAGTATTCTGGCAACAAAAGAAGGAAGAAAAGAACTTGGAAGATGTGAAGTTTGGATGAGAGAAACAGCTTTCCACACATGCATTTCTTCACACTGACTTACAATAGGTCTGTTCTCTCAGAAGTTGTAGTGTACTAGAAGCATAGTATCACGAGCAGCCGAAGATGTGGAGTTTTAAAAAACTTTTGATTGTGTTCTCTTTTTTGCTCAGTAATCTTGCTTAATGTTTTAGACAAACGAATATGTGGAGCAATAAGGTGAAAAAAAAAAGCATTGTAGCTTTGAGTACCTGAAAGGACTGTAGTTGTTATAGGTGACTTAGCCCTAAATAAATTACTTCAGTAAATTACAGTGAAATCTTTGCAAATGTTATATATCTATGTCTAAGTCTTGTGAGTCACGCATATATAACAAAATACAGGAAAAAGCTTGCAAGAAAATACATATTTGTGAGCAGGCATTTGAGTATGTACTTTTGAAGCTTTAAAAGGGAGTACACTGGAAATGCTGTCAGTGTGGTTTTGCTCCCTGTCAAAAGAAAGATAAAAACCACATTTACATGTATTTTGGCATGTTGAATCTTTATAGAAAGCTCAAATTCACGGAGTTAGGTCTGATTAATTCGTGTCAATGAACATGAGGGGGACAAAACCAGTTTTTGAATTATCTCACATTCAGTATTTTACATTAGGAACAACACAGATCATAGAATCATAGAATGGCATAGGCTGGAAGGGACCTTAGAGATCATCTACTCCAACCTCCCTGTTGTGGGCAGGGACGCCACCTCTTGACTAGACCAAGGGGACCGAGCAGGAATCAAACCCATGACCTCGGTGTTGTCATTGTTGTCAGCACCACGCTCAAACTTCTGAGCTAACCGTCCCCCTACAGTTCTGACAGTTTTCTTTTTTTCTCATGGATGCTGACAAACAATTGCTTTTGTCAGCATGCTTCATACCAACTCCTACCTTCTCTGTTCAGAGCTGTACCTGAGTGATGAGGAGTTAAAGAAACTCCATGACTTTGAGGAACAGTGTGTAGAAAAGTATTTTCATGAGAAGAATGAAAGCCTGAGTTCCAGTGACAGTGAAAGGATCCGTCTGACAACAGAAAGGTATGATTTCCCTGCGTGATTTTCTTTTTTTTTATTTGTTGTATGAAAAGACTTTGGTAGCCTAGCTTTTGGAACAGGTTATGACCATTGTGAAAATGAGGAGCAGTAACACAGGCCTTGCTAATTTCGTGGAAATACAAGGTATCTGTTTGAACTGCAAGGCAGCCCTGTCTGCGAAGCTTAGCTGGCAGGATTGCACCCCCAGATCTGTGCAGTGTGCAGATGGTTGAAGGGGTACTCTGAGGTGTTGCTCGGTTTCACTTTGGCAGACCGCATAGCACAATGAAAACATGCCAGGGTATGGTGTACCGTACATGTCTGAATTTAAAGGCTCACACTCTGAGAATATTTCTTGTGATTGAGTGTAACTGCTGTTTCCAGAAATAATTGTATAACCATTGTAGCATTATCTGCAATGTAGTGTCTTGTTTTGCGAAATGTCAATACCCCATTGTCGATGGCGTTTCAAAACTCTCATTGTAGGCCTAATTTATCTTTCTGTTGAAATCAGTGGCAAAGCTGCCATTCAGTTTAATGGGAAGAGTTAAAGGAAGTGAGTGCTATAACCAGTGTTACTGGATGCCAGTACTAATCTCATCTAGTAAATTTGTTTTACCTAGAGAAAGACAGTCTCTTATTCTTTGCCTGTTTATAATGTTATTTTCTCCATACTAGAACAAGCAAATGTCTCCTGTAAAAGAAAAAAAAAAAGCTATGTTTGAAAGCTGTAGAATTTCATTACAACAAGAAATTTTCATTTAGTGGATAAATATATATCTGGAAAGCAATTTTTTTTTTGGAGTGCACAGTTGAAACAGATTTCACAGCATTTCATAATGTTAATACAAGAGATTAGATGAATAAAATATTTTGGAATGCTGCTCTTGGATTTCACTCAGCTACTGACTAAATATTACATCTTTCAGTTAACTGAAAGATGCATATAAAAGTTAACTTAATATGCAAAGTTAACTTTTGCATATTGCCTGCAGCTAGTTAGCATTGTTTTAGTGACAGAGTGCAAGATAGAGTATCTTCAGGAAACTTGAAGATAATGATTTGATTAAAATGATATAATTTCAGGGCAAGATTAACAAGATGTCATTGCATACATGTACTGTTCACTGAGGACTGGAAGACTATAGAAAAAGCATTTGCATCAGACATACTGAATCTGTTGCCATGGGCTGAATAGGTTCTTGGGGAGATGCTTTTTTCCAGCAGTCTCCTGTAACTGAGAAATGCAAGAGTGCTCATAGGTACTCAAGCATTGTCATTCTTGTGCTTGCACAAGAAGTGTAGAAGTGCGGGTTGACTGCCTGCCAAGAAGTATACTTTATAGCATTTTACTTTTACAGCAATAGCCAATGCAGTATTTCCAAAGCTATGACCTGCTGTCCATGGTTTAGTAGTTCTATGGCAAGGAATGGACATTAGTAGGAAAATAGCAGTTTTTGAAATAGATAGTTATTGAACAAAAGCACCTGTTTCCTCAAAAATCACTGGCAGTTGACCCGATAATCTGAATGACATGTTGTAAATCTGGATGAATTTTGTCAAATGCATGTATTAATGGGACCTGAAGTTGCAACTGAAAAAAAAAAAAAGGCTGTTTGAAACACTGATTTTTGAAATGTGTTGCTGTGTTCCTTCATCATCTGGCAAACAGAGGTAAATATCTGTGGGTTTGGTATTTTGTCTTTTCTTTTTCTACCTAGAGTGGAGGAGATGTTTCTGCAACTTAAGGAAGTGCATGAGAAGGTATTTTTTATCAAGGAGTCATTACTGTCCCTGGACAGCCAGCTAGGACACTTGCAAGACCTGTCTGCCTTCACAGTGGACATCCTGAAAGTGCTTTCAGCTGTAGACACCTTGCAGGTGAAAGAAGCCTTGCTGGCTGACGCAAAACATCGAACCTGTAGGAAGCTGCCCCACAGCTGGAGCAATGCACTCTATTCCAAGACCTTGAGCAGCCTAGAGTGTTTGTATGAAAAGAAATACCATTATTACAGCATGCCACCCTCCCTCTTACGGAGCTTGGTAAGGAGTCAATGGCCATCTGAGTGCAAAGACCACGTGTCAAGGACCGAGAGTAACAAGATGGTAGAAGACAGCTCTCAAAAGATAGAAATAGAAAGTGACACACTCACTTCAGGAGTATCCTCTGAGACTAAGTCAACCCCTAGATATGGACAGTTTTTGCTGGTTCCCCCTGACCATCAAGGAGGGTCTTTCTCTGAGGATGTCACCTTAAATTTGTCCTTTTTGAGCACTCCTGCCAAATATAGGGATGATGCATTCAGAGGTGAACTGCAAAGTAGCATTATGGTGCAGCAGAACTTGCGGGGTGTCAGCCTTATTGGGAAAAAGCCAACAGATTATCAGTGGAGCCAGAGAGACTTTGCAATTCATTTGCCATCAGAAAAGACTAATGCTGCAGAAGATGCTCATCCTCTATATCTCCCGCAATCACTGGGTATTGGAGAGAGTGCAGCACCCTCCTGTGATGACAGGGAAGAAACTGAAGGTGGCTATGTGAACTGGGGATTCTCTGAAGGTGACGAAAAAGGAGTTTTCAGCCCAGAAACAAAGAAGGCCCTACGCATATGTTCAACCTGTAACAGTGACTGCAGTTGCATGGATAGTCCTCCCAGGCATGTCCAGATAAGAGAATCAAAGTCTTTCTCCTGCAGCTCTAACAGGTCATGTCACAGCAGTATCACCTCTCAGAATACACTGAAACGCAGCACCTCCTGGATCAGCCCACTCTGGAAGGACTGGAGTTTCTGCAAGAGCAATAGCCTATTGTCCCCTAAGAAAGAGAAAAGAGGAAAAACCTGCAAGGCTATAAGTGGTAATTATAAAACACTACACCCGTACTGGATCTTCAACATCTGTGAAATATCTTTTACTGGGGAACCCAAGACGTTATTAAAATGTTTCCTTTGTGCCTGGGATGTATTAGCTGCAGTTCTGGATAGCAGCAAAGAGTTCAGAATTATCACCTTCACATTCTTTGTACTGGGTCTGACTGTCGTAGGGAGTTTCTGAAGTGTGCTTGATATCCAAGATGCACCACATCTGTGTGTCAGCCAGCCTGATTGTCCCATTCTCATAGGATCCCTATGATTGTGGCTATACAGCCACCACGACAGAGGGATTGTGTTCACTCCAGGGAAATCTCCTGCCCTGGGGATGCAATGCAAGAGTTGCAGGAGCCAAAATAAATTACACAATCACTAAGGGATACATTAGCAGTATGATAGGTCAGATAGGTGCGCAGAGAATCAAGAGGTACACATTTTTATAGATGGTTTAAAACCCTGCCTGTCTACCACCAAGTTTGCTTACCAATGGATAAAATATAGCAGATTCAAGTTCTAAGTATGAATAGGTGTTGGATAACCTTTGTTATTTCATGTCTTGTGATGGTACACATCCTTGCACTGAACTGCATGAGTATAACTTTGAGTGTCACAAGTCTTTTCTCAGCTTGCTTTGGAGATTTGCCAACTCTCAGTCTTATCAGATCTTCTTTTAGTAAACAAAAGCTCTGTAGCTTAATGGTGGATTTTGACTCTTTCCAACAGGGTCTTTACAATCCAGTGAGCTACACCACAATGAGGCAACCAAAGCAAAACAAGGAAACAGAGACATAAAGTCTGGGACAGGAAAGAAGAATCAAAAACCCCTTCAGGTGCCGGTATGTGCAGATACAAGAGCTTCGCGTACTTCATAACTGTTTTTTTCATTCATTAAGAGCAGTTCTGCGGTGTTGCTTACTTTAAAACGTATACATTTAAAATGCTGCACTCAAACTGAGCTGTATTTTTGGGTGTCTGGCTTCGGTTTCATTTCCCTTTTGTCTAAATGTGTGGGATTTTAGTTTTGAATGTGCTGATATAGTTTGCTAGATAGTATACCAGAGGTGTTACTGATTTTACACAGAGAGGAATCAGACCTTGCACTTTAACTGGCAGGAGGACTTGGGGAGGCTTAATTTGATTTGGGTAGACTGAAGGATTGGCAAGCCATATCCAAGCAGTGTGCAACTGTGTACAAGAAAGTCAGACCTCATAATGTTGTACCCTGTCTACAAGAGTCCCTCACTCTTTTTCTTCGAATCCATCAAACCTTTAGCACATTGCAGACAGCATATTGATTTTGTCATATGTGAGGGGCAACTTTCGTAACAATATGTGTGCGTACATTTGTAAAAATCTACTTAGGAAGTTATAAAGATACTATCCTAGGATCTTTGTCAACTGGAAAGAGTTATCTCTGTTTAATGGTATGAAAGCTGATGCTCAGGTCAGCAACAGACTTGAACTTTAAGATCTACAATGCTGTAGTGCTAGATCTTCCATCAGTACTATTTACTAGACAAAAGCAATGTGTTTTCTACAACTTGCAAGAAAATTGGGAAAATCTGTTTTTCAGCTGGGAGCAAGTTCAGTCATTGGCATAGGCTGTCAGAGGAACTGCAGAAGTGCTAGTCATCCTATAAATCGAATGTCATTTTGTCTGTGTCATGCCAGGTGATTAGAGTGGATGATTGTCCCCAGAACACCCAAGTAAGTTCAGAGCCGGCAGAGATCAATGTCTGGGATGAGCAAGAGAAACGCAGCAAGAATTGGCTCACTGTGTCTACTTTCAGTCAGCTAAGTATGTGATATTTTGCAAATGGTGAAGTTCAGAACAGCTTTTGAGAAGAAGCAGTAAATAAAGTCTCACAAATTCAAGGTGTCATCCACCACTTTCACTTCATGGCATAATTTTTATCCAATGAGACTTAGGTTGCAGGCACACACAGCTTGCTTATTTGCTTCATCACTGAAGAAGCAAAGGAGATGGAGTTGGATGGAAGGTCAGTTATAACTTTCTGGGAGCACAGCCTGTCTCACATGGGAAACAGTAGATTACTAGTCAGTAGGAATAAGTAGGAAGGAAGGAGAATTATATCCTTGTCTACTCTCCTGAGGTGTCTTCTAAAGTGGCATCCTGGCTAATTGTAAAAATAAACTCTCTTGTGAATTTCTCAGGGCATTTACACTCGCAGGAAATGCTGTGTTACTGTATCTGCTGGCAGATACACTGCATGCATTATTCATTACTCATTGCTCAGAAACACATCCTCCAAAGGGAAGAAATGAATTTTGTATCATCTCTGTTGGAATGAAAAAGGAATGGCATTCTTATTCTCATTTTAGTAATTCTCCATCTCTATTTTATTCTCAGAAACACATTGCATAGTTCATCTTTTGCAGTTTTGCTGTGATGCAGCTCACTGGTTTCATCCTACAAGCTGCTGGGGCAAGAACCAGGGAATACTGTGACTCGGCACAGCATGGTCTTAGAAGGGCTGTGCTCCTCTGAAAGCTGCTGACAGAGAATGGAAAAACTCCATTTTAACCCTATCAAATTCTGTTACTGCTTTTATAGTCCATTATGTATTTGGTGGGGCAATATGGGGTATAGGTGTTTATTTTATAGCACTGCATAGGTGTTGAGCTTGTAGCTATAGAGCTGTTCATTTACATGGTGGAAATAGCTGACACCTTCTCTTCTGGCTAGGTTTGGAACGTCTCAGTTACATGCACCAGAAAATGAAAAATCAAGACATCGGTAGGGATACCATACCATTCTGTGATTACCTGAGGTATTCTCAAGAGGTAAGACCTAAGATTACACATACAGTAAGTCCATAGTTTTGGCTGGGATGAGCCCAGGGTGGCTCTACTGATGTCCCTGGACTAATTACTATAGGTTCTTTGTCATGAAATACCTCTTGAGAGATGAGGGTTAGGGTTGTTGTCTGCTGGCACAGTGCATGTGTGCAAGGAGATGAATAATTTAACATCTGTTAACACTCTGTGAAATAGGATATTAAATTATTGAATCATGGAGTCGTTCTGAATATGAAGAAGTTGGTCAGAAATAACATGTATGCTGATGTTTCGTGAGGTAATGAATGAGCACACAGCTTTGTTTTGACCTGTGGGCAGAGTTGGTTAGCAAATTTTGGAAAGTTAGCTACATAGCTCCAAGTCTATCACACAGAGATAGTTATTTGTTGCAAAATGAGAGTTACATATTGATAATAATGGCAAAGTTTAGATTTCTTAACCACTGGCTTGTAAACAAAATGTCTTATTATTTATCAGAAATAATTTGCAGCTCCAAAGTGTAAAGGTCCTTTGCCTATATAAATCAATATAGGCTCATTGACTTTGATGGCGCTAGACCAATTTGTATTTACTGAAAACTGGGGCAAGAATGTGGATTATAGAAAATTCTATCTGTTTCAAAAATGATGTACCTAATGGAAGAAAATGTATCTTTCACTACACTGCGTAGGGGTATCTCAGAGGTATGAAAGGAAATTAACAGAGAATAAATTAAGCAAAGGAACTGTGAAATAATATTTTTCGCTTCCTTCTTAGACAGCACCCTTCCTTGCCTGTTTTACTTATAGCATTCTTGATTATCACAATGGTGATCTATAAAAGCCTAGCTTATTTTTTACTGTAAATACTTTTTTTATGGAATAAAAATTAAACTATGTGGTTTCAGATTTTCTATTCTAAATGCTGTATAATTTAAATCCCAAATGCCGAGGGAGAGAGCTTGAATCTAAATTTTAAAAATGTCGGGGTTTTGTATGAAAGAGGAGAGAGAAAGAGAGAGAGGAAAAGAAAGAGAAATAAACTTACTGAATTTGTATTCTGTAAAACTTGAGCTTGGATTCTTGATAAATAAATTTTTAAAATGTGAAACACAGGGGCAGACAAGTAAAATAAAGATACAGTCAGGGAAACTGTGAGGAGACCAAGTAATCCGGTGCTTCAAAACTCATATTGAGATCTTTTGGGCAAAACTCAAAGGTGGAATTTTTAAATTTCTTAGAAAAATTCCACTGATAACAGTAGAATTGGAGTTAGGCTGAAACTAGTCATTTCCAGAACATTAAGTGTTTTTTTCTTTGAAGATACAGCCTCCAATACCCTCTGAGTCACTATGTCTCTCCTTAAGTCCTGTCTGGGATATGAGAGTTTATGTAACAATATGGCTGCATCCAACTCTTCTGTATAGAGTATGATATATTTTAAAGAAATGTGCTTTTCTTGAAGTGGTGTTTCTCAGATTTACCCACTGAACACCATTGGTTCAGAAATCCCTCCTAATGTGTAGCAGGGAGGAAAGCAAAGGTGTGTACAGGGAAGTTTTGGTTTTGTTAGAGGTTTCTTCATCTGCAAAGCAAGCTACAAGGTGAAATTATGAGTGAAATGGTGAGTTAAGTTTCAGATAATATTGAAAGCTGAATGTCAGTCAATTTATCTTTAAACTTTGTTGCCTTTGAACATTTTTGATGACTCTGATTCTTTCAAGTATTGAAATCTGACTCTCTACTGCTCAGGAGAGTAATCCAATTCCTGACTAGGGCATTAGGAGAACCCAGCTGGCCCAACTTTCCCTAGTGTGTCTGAAGGTTTGAAAGACTATTTGAGTCCCCATGTGGTCTAGTCGAGAGGTGGCGTCCCTGCCCATGACAGGGAGGTTGGACTAGATGATCTCTAAGGTCACTTCCAGCCTAGGCCATTCTATGATTCTATGGTACTGCTTTAACTACAGGACCTGGAAAATATGTGATCTAAATATCACTGCAAAACTGCTCAGTGTGTTACTGCCTTCTGTTACAGAGGTTTAGGGTGCACTGTATTTTCAAAAACTGTAAAGCCTATCCCTAAATTGAAGTTTTCAGATATAATCAGAGTTCTCTAATACTGTCCATATTAGACCTTCAACATGCTTTTGTGATTGTATTGAGATGTAAGTGGGTACCTGAGTATTTTATTCAAGTGCATGGAGGCAGCATGGAAAAGTATAACGTGAGAAAATTAGTTCCATTTTAATGTAGGTATGACAATGCTGTGATTCACCTGCCTCTCAGTGTCATTATTCATGCTAACAATAAGCATATCTATAAGTGTTTTCAAGATTGTATCGTTCTGAGTTGCACAGTGTGTATATGACAGTGCTATACAGATTTTACCAGTAAAAGTATCTCTCTTTTTTACAGGATTTGAGTAGTAGCATATTTGGAACCACCAAGAAATGTAATCTGAACAGGAATCCCTCGTATGTATTATTAGTATATTAAGATATTAATCACATGCTTTTGGAAGAAGACTTCTGCAGGTTTCCATTTCAGTTCTGCACTATACTTAGGATGAGAAATTTAGGTGAAATTAAGAGTTAAGACAATTCAGTCTGTATAAGTTTCTTTAAATGACACCTTTTAATGATAATAAAGGAGATACACTTAAACAAAGTATATAATTTTAGGTGGAATAGAAACCCCTTTTTATTCTAACAATAATCTAATTTTCTAATTCAATCCCTAAGATCACCATAGCATCTTTAACTAGCCATTATTCCAGTCTAGTGAGCATGAAAATTTGCACTTGCTTTTGTTGTGCAAATTGCATGTTTCCTCTTTTAATAATTTAAATGCTAGCAGCTCCTGAAAGCTTCTCTCATTCTATGATTAATTTCTTTGGTACTGAGTCTGCACATTTACAAAATATTTAGCTTGGTTTTCTTAATGGGTTTTTGATAGTTATTAAGCTCTGATTATATTTGGTAGTTTCAAAAATGTTTTCAATTTTATTGTGTGGTTAAAATTTTTTTCAGCTTGATTGCTCATTACCTTAATATTGAGGGTATTTTTTTCCACAGGTAGGGCTATCTATGTTCCTTTTCTTTCTTATTTTCATGGTTTTCTTTTATATCTATCTTACTTAGTAACACTGTGGATGTAATAAGTAAAAGACACTAGAAAGCTGCCACATCCTGTGTGATTGCACCATAAGAAAAGGAAAAAAAGATACTGTTTTTTACCCATCCTGTGAATGTTTTTTGGTTTTTTTTTGGTTTTCTTTTCTTTCTACCTAGTCATTTATACGCAGTAGGCAAACTGCATGCCTACAGCAGGATTTACAGACCGTTGAGTGGCCTGATTCTGTCACTTAGTCTATTGTCTTCAGTGGGATCTCACTCATTTGTGAGGTGAATCATATCTACTGTCTTCTGTAACAAAGGCTACTTTAACAGGGGCTGTGGTCTTTCTGCAGCCCTGCTAATCCAGAGGACCACCAGTTTAAGAAGTCCCGTTTTGTGTGGGCAGTGGTAATGGTGTATCTAGCTCTGAATACATCTCAGCATTGAATGAAAAGTGAACAGCTGTGTATGTGATTGAAGTGACCTTAGACTTGATATTGTTATATTGCAGTGTAAATAATATGAACAGTGGTGCAGGAGCTTAAGAGCAGCTCAGCATAAAGGAGAGAAAGAAACAGGCAGAACATTGTGGCTATTCTTCAGTAATTGAAGATTATTTGCTGATTGTTGCAATGAACGAAGTTGCACTGAGGATTATTTTGTTTCACGATTGCTGATCAAACCTTTATGAGTTTGCCTTCAGGTGGAACAGATCTCTTCATATATACCAGTGTTAGCTTAATGACAGAAATTTTGGAGTAAAGTATTAAATGTTTGCTTTTAAACAGGTTGAGAACTTCAGAGGAAACTGACAGTAAGTTTTTAGTTGCTTGTCACTCATTTTAATTTCTTTCTGCAAATCTCACTCTGACAATTCTGAAGTACAAAATCTGAAAGGAAGTCAACTTACTATAGTTAGAGAGTTATAGGAAAATGTTCAACTGTTGCTTCGTATATTAGTTACTAATTTGTACTTTAAAACATAAGATTTTTTTATGAGGTCATGTTTTGCTCATAACTGCAAGATCTTAAAAGAAAAAAATCTGGTTTTACTCTAATCTGCTCAATAACGTTTTCCTTTTCAGTAGGAAGAAACTCTTTAAGATGATGATGCTCCTTGATTTTTCAAGTTGCAGTCTGGTGTAATTCCTCAGTTTGTGTGGTTTCCCTGAAATAATCAAGTTAGTGAAGGACTCAATTTATTATGAAATGGCCAATGGAGAAATTCAAAGTTCTAGCGAGGAACGACTTTTTTCCACAAAAGTAGCGTGCTAGTTAACTTCACTTGTGTTTTTGCCTTTTAGTCTACCTTCCAGTTTTCCTGGTACGCCACAGCAGCTGGGCACCTGTCTCTTTCTGAGGCTGATTGTGGTGCAGAAACAAGTTGTTCTTAGACTTATCTTCCCTTCAAGCTCAGCTCTTTCTGGGTCCAACTGCGCACGAAATGCTGCTGTGCTGAAGCACACTGCTGCAAGTGTAGTGAGTTGTGGGGCTACTCTCTAGGGTGCACCATTGCTTTGATTAAAATCCAGTTTCCCCACCCTCAAAAGGAACAACTTAACCGCCATTCTCCTTTTCACATTTGTTGTTTTATAATGTGTTAAGTGTGACAAAACTAGTTGGGTCCAGCAAGAAAAATAGCAAAAGGCACCTTGAATCACCACGGTCACTAAATGGTAATGCTGGCCCTTACCAAAACATATATTTATAATTTTTATTTAGGATCTCTTATGCTAGAAAAAAGAATACAAGCAAATAAAATACACCAAGAAAAAAAGCATAATGTTTGAATATTTTGATGAATATATGGATCTGATTATCTCACTTGTCAGAATTAGAAGGAGTACAGTGTATATATTTTCTGAAATCTGACATTTTGAAGGATTGTTTT